TGCGAAAACACGGAGACCTACCCAGCGAGAACCAGGAAAGCAAGACACGCACACTGACGCCTCGGTGTGCAGAATGAAACAGGATACGGGCGCGGAATACGGCCGCGGAAGAACACCTCGCACAGTGCCGATCCGGCCGATCTCCGAACGGACGATTTCGCATTTCGTGGACAGCGAGCGCCACCGCACGGGAGAGAGAGGTACCTTAAAAACGACGAAAACAAGCACCGACACCTTGGTTCTTTATATTTGCTGTAGTTACGGAACAAATCGACTTACATGAATAATTTGAATATTATTCGAGTCCGTAATAAATTTAGAAGACATTAAGCGCAATTCTTCTTATGTTTGAATTTAGATAATTTTGTAAATTCGCTCCGAACGCAAGAGTGCCGAATTAGCCGATTTTGACCATTTTCATGATTTTTTAAAGAATATAATTAAATTTATGACGAAACATCTGTTGCGTTTAGTGTCTCGATAATGACTCAATGTCTTTAAAGCCGAAATTTTCAAGAAGATCCGCGCAGCCGTTATTATGTGAGAATTTTTTTAATTTGGTGAAAAACCTCATGTATTCTCTATGGGGCTCTGAGGTGCGCCCCCTCTTAACCACAAGACCAGCAGATGCGGTCGTGGTAGCGATAGATGTGCTCCCATTTTACTTTCTGGGTGTGCACGTAGCAACAAACTACGCAGCATAGCCACTTTACCTCAATGCTTTATAAATATTTGAAAACTGTGGGTTATTCCAATGTTTACAACAACCAAAAAGCAGACAGGCAGTTTGTGTAGCAACGCGAGACCCTCACATTGGTAAGCAAAAACGTGTGCCAGTGAAACGCACTATCCCAGAAACGCTAACTCCGAAGCGCTCGCTCTGCGTGGCACATAAGCGACACGACAGCATACCTAACCAATCTGCTGACTTGTATTCACACACAAATAAAAATTAAGGAACAAAAACATGAAATTTCCTTGAAGTGGTAACTGCAAACGCGGGAGTGCTTTGAAGGCTGCCTTTACGAGCCGTCCGCATTGCATCGCTGAATCGCCCGAATCCCGAGCTGCCGCTTCGTCGCGTACAGGCTAGTAGAAGGAAACCCAAAAGAAGCTTAAACCGCGACAACGCTTGCTGTCGTTGCTGCAGCCAACAACGAAACAGCACTAGGGCCTGTCGGAGAGCTTCGAAACGCGCGACCACCGCTGCCTCCTGCAGCCCCTAGCCGGACGTACCACGCCACCAAAAATGGCGGACTCCTGTCTGCTGCTGCTGCGCATGCGCCGTGGAAACCCCGGAAAAGGACCATTTCGGCGGCCGCGTCTCGTGGCGATCTTACAGGCTTTGCCAGCATAGGGGAGACTATGGTCGTAGGCATTGGGTCACCGCTCCGGCGTGACGTCCTAGGCACACGTGAAGCAACAAAGACACGGATACGTAAACTGACGTGACACCTTACCGATTCTTGATTAGCTAGGATGCTTGCCAAATTGGTAACGATTCAGCTTTTTGCCTCGGAAGATAAAAAAAAAAAAAAAAAAAAAAAACTTATAATTTATATATGTGTGTCATAGGTACATGTATATGTAATGTAGTTAAAGTGACCATATTCCTCGGGCCCCAAAGCGGGACGCGTATCGGGAAAAGGGGGGCCGGGTATTGTGTTGTGAGATTTGGAAAGTTTAAATTTCGGTAACAAATCATACCTTTTCTTTATTTCGTATACCCCGTGTGCATTTTTTTTTCTTGCAATTTGCGTACTGTGTGGCTTGCAGCCATCTAATACATTTGGTTGGAATATGCCTTTAATATTAATGTATTGATTCTTGTGTACTATGGTCCATAGCACTGTTCTCATGTCATACGCCAATTGACCTTCAGCATCTTCTCTGTCGAGCATATCTTGTTCCTTGATCAGAGGAGGCACCCTCTCGCCGGTGCGATCTTTTCGTTTAACCGAATCTTCCATCTATCCGCTGTTCGAGGAGCAAAAGCGGGACAAAACGGCGTCCCACAAGCACACTGGCGGGACAGCGGGACCACGGCCGGAAAAGTGGGACCTGTCCCGCCTAAATCAGGACGTCTGGTCACTTTATGTATAGTTTTTTTTTTTTTTTTTTCATTCTTTACAGATTTGTTTTTAAAAAAAAGCCATGAAAGCCACATGCTGTTTGTGCGAGTGAGTTATATGCCCAGGGGGACATTATGTGGGTGACTAATCTTGGTGATAAATCGGCTAATTAATTAAAATTCGTTAACTTTTTTATTAGTGAAAATAGGCATATGGTTTCAATTAGAAACTTGCTGAGCGTTATCGTAAACCACTAAATCAGTCATTTCCAGAAAGACTTTCAGCGCGTGAGAAGCGTCGTAGTGTAATAAAGTTACCACTCGTGGAGCAGGTACAAGGCTAGCGGTTGCGGTAAGGCGCCCGCGCAATTTTTCCGTCTCTTATTTGAAGTTAGTTAGCTCCAGCCTTGTACCTGCTCCACGAGTGGTAACTTTGTGGCGCTACTGCGCTTCTCACGGGCTCAAAGTCTTTCTAAAAATTACTGATTTAGGGGTTTTGGACGACGCTGAGCGAATTTCTAATTGCAACCAGAAGACTATTTTCACGAATGAAAAAAGTTAATTAACAAATTGCACTCAATTGTCCGTCTCATCACAAAGATTAGCCACCCCCTGGCCGTATAACTCACTCGCACAAACTGCTTTAGTGTAGCTTTCATGACTTCTTTTAAACAAACCCGTAAAAGAAAAAAAAAAAAAAGAAAAGAAAAAGAGGCCTCTGGTGTTTAGAGTGCTGTCCATCCCATGGAAACTCGTCGCCCGGCTAGCTCAGTCGGTAGAGCACGAGACTCTTAATCTCGGGGTCGTGGGTTCGAGCCCCACGTTGGGCGTAACTTTGTTTTTTAACCGACGTGAAGTTTGTCGACGGAACAATATCCGAGTGTAGATGGTGCGTTAATTATCGGTATTAATCGGTATATATCGAAAAATAACTACTTATGTTGACACCAACATGTACAAAAACAAAAATACTTTTTTGGCAAACGTTATATTTATTACGACTTAAAGGTAGATTTAGTTTATATTTAGAATATGATTCTGCACGAATCCCTTCGTGTTCATTGTTCCTCTAGAATCTAGATAAATAAAAAAGAAAACAGCCACTATAAAAAAAAAAATCTGGGACAGTTTTTATTGGTATTACCTAGAGCCACTAAATGAGCTGCGCTTAGAGTATCGGAACTCTGTTCCCTAACATTGTCGTGGGCGCCGCCATTTCGACTTGCATGCAGAGCAGACGCAACTGCCGATCGTCATGATCCAAAAGTGCGACTTCCTCAGCATTAGATTCGGTGTTAGGAAGCTCATGTAATATAGCTTTGCTCTGTCGCGAACTGTTTCAACATTTCTGGAGGGCGGAAAAGTGTTTTTTTGTGATTTCAGATAAAGCTTCAGATAACTGGCAACCATGCTTTTAAGCTGCAATGCGGCCAAGGGTCGCTGCTCTGAGGCGGAGCTTATTTAGAGGCACTAGTATTACCATAATGCAAGATAATGCATAGATTAGCATGAGAGGCCACTTGTCTCCTTTCAGAGAAGGGGACTTATCAGCAACATGAATTCAGGACAACTGGCCACGACGGAAACTAGTATAAACACTCGATAGCGTTACCGACTGTTCTAATTCTATATTCTATACCTTCGGGTTTCTTATTAGGAAAAGAATGAAGTATTTTTAATAATAGTGCATGGTGCTACTAAATCTTTGCCAAAAATTTAAATTACTTCCCATATGTCCGGTATGTTTGTGGTCAAATAATAAATCAAAGGCTTCCCAAAAATGCCTAGAAATAGGGCGATTGAAAAAAATAAGAAACTCTTTCTGGAAACAAACTGTCGGCAAAAAAAAAAAAATACTAAGTAGCTAAAGAATTAACTGAAATATATGAATTAACTTCTAATTCGTGAAAATAAACATATGGTTCCAATGAGAAACTCGCTAAGCAAAACTCATCGCTTTAGTCTTATATCTCGTGCAGTGCAAGCATTGTTCAAGTACAGTTGAGGGCCACATGCTCGCGCTTGTAACTTCGGCCTAGCTTGTACTCAGTGAAACGAAGTATAGTGATTTTCGATGATGCATAGTAAGGTTCTTATTGAAACCTTGTGTTTATTTTTTACTACCTAAAAAGGTAATGCGCAAGTTTTAGTTGATTATTTAGCTAATTAGTATGTTTTTTTGTTTTTTTTTAATACTTGACTTTTGCCATGGCCCATGGCTGAAAGTTTGTTCCCAGAAACGGTTCCTAACTTTCTCGACCACCCTAATTTTAGGGATTTTTGAAAGCCTTCGATGAAACACCAGAGTATTTTTAGCACGGTAGAAAGTTTGGCGACTTGGTTACGAAAAAAACGCTGCAACAAAAACAACGAAGGACAGAGACGACTACACAGAACAAAGCGCCATCAATTGTTTATTCTGTAACTCCCATCGGAGTGGTCACATCAAACAAAAATGCATTGACTCGCATGACAACAAAGATTGAGATATTTGACATATTTTTTTTTGGTGGGTATTACTTCCAAAATAAACAGTTGAAAATCAGCAGTTCAACTGAGTATTCTTCTCTGTCCATTATTTTTATTACAGTAAGAACATTAAACTGAGTAAAGTTTGAATGATGTACTTTAATTATGCAAGTCATACTATGTCCTCGTAAGCTAACAAGTGAAAGACATGCATTTTAAGATAAATGACATCCAGGATGCAAAATCATGCAACACATATAAAGATATTCTTTATTCTGCTGCATGTGTGAATAGAAAAACAAAAAAGAAAATTGTGCACTTTTGTGGGTACTCAAGTCGAATACAATTCCACTTCAGCAGAGCGATAGCTGGAGAGGGGTTTGTGCGACGACTGTAGTTTTCACGCACCGAAGCGACGCCGCTTTTCCTTTTCCCATCAGGAATGCCAGAGGTCAGGAGATAGAACAAATCAAGATTTTATTCTCTTTCCTCTACTGTACACAGGAGAACGGTGCGCACTAGTCCAAGAGGACAAACAGAGTTCACCTGCCGTGGAACTAAACGCAGACGGGCAAAAGCTTCCCCACAGAGCCTGCAATGACAAACACGGGGCACAGTGTGTCACGGCGGGCATTTGCTGTTCCCCTGCTATGGCTGGCAATACGAGCTATGACGAACGTAAGACACAGTAAGTCACTGCATCTTGAGTTATTATGTCTGGTAATACGAGCTGGAACAAAAACAGTGCTTTTAGGTATAAAATAACTTGCACTCCTCTATCTCAAATGTACTTCCTTCGACCATGATTGCTGAACTCTGCTTCAAACTTCTACTTGGGCTCACAAAGATGTTTTTACAGCCTTGGTAAAGAAAAGTGGATCGAAATTCCCCTCAAGATGGAGAACACCGAAATCTAAAAACTTTGTCCTCTTCATCTGAACCCAAAAAAGTCTGCCAGTTTGACCTGGCCATCAAATGACCCCGTGAAAAGTGGAAAACACCTCTTAGAACCACAAGCTTGTGCCTCAGAGTGTGCTGTCTCCACAATTCGACCTGTTGTCACGGTAAATGTCATCCACCAAGTTTGCTAGAATCTGTGAAGTTCAGTACTAAACGTCTCTGTCAATGCAAATTTCTCCCAGACATAATTTTGTCCGAAGTTCAAGGCAGGAATAATTTTCAAAATATTAATTGATAAATGCAAACTGAAACTGCACTTCAATGCTTTTTTTATGTGTAACCTTAATAGCCCTTTTCACATCCTTCCCATCATGTACCTTATTTCATGCAGTTTAAAAGTTGAAATTTTTATGCTGCGCACACTATCTAGACGTGCGTAGCTATACAAGCATTTGTTCTTTCGAGATTGCTCATCCAGAGATATGCGACGAATCTTGAGAATGATGGATCATGTCAATGGCAATATCTGTAAATTAGAACCTTCTTCGTGCTCCAATAAAAGCAACATTTTTCAAGCTGTGCCAAATATGAGAATTATTAATGGTAAAGTTCAGAAAGAACGCCTCCCCCACATTAAGAGATAAATGGTGAAAAACATGGGGAACTTATACCACAAATCGCGGACAGAGCAATTTCGTGTTTCACGATGCGATAAACACGTGGGAATTTGTTAAAACTTCCGTCTCCTGGGGAAAGGATACCGCGGGTTGCGATAGCAGCAGGTTCGCATTTCACGGTGCGAAGGACCCGCAGAAACCCACCGAGAGCTCGCATCTCACAAGAATGATTACCGCAAATCGCGGGCGCAGCAGATTCAAGTTTTATGGTGCAATAAACATGCGGGTACTTGCTACAAACTTGCCTGTCACAGGAACCAATATAGCGTGTGCAGATCGCAGACAAAAACGCGGGACTCCACGACAAACTTGTACGTTACGGGAACAAATATCCCAGATCGTAAACGCAGCAGAATCTCTCGCTCAGAATCGAGATAGCCGACAAAACCGCAAATCGTGGACGCGCAGATAGCCGACAAAAAACGCAGAAATCCACTACGAACTTCATGTCACAGGAATGGATACTGCAGATTGCGGATTCAAGTTTTATGGTGCAACACACAAGTGGGGAAAACTCGCCAGTTAGGGGAGCCGATATTGCACGCGCAGATCGCGGACAAAAACGCTGGCACTCGCTCGTCAGACGTGCTGGTACAGCAAACTGCGCGGCCGATGCGATTCCCGTCCGACGTTGCATGATGTCCGACGAAAATGAAGGGATGGGCGATGTTTCTGAATTTTTATGTTACAGATATTTAGCCAGAAAAATGGAATGGGAGATCTCTCGGGGGCGGGCGTTCTCTCGGAACTTTACAGCATGTATCCACTACGCACCAGGCGCAGACTCTGCATCATCTCCTGGGGAAAGGATACCGCAGGTTGCGGTGACTGTAACTTGGTCATTATTAATGGCAGAGTGTGGTCTTTAACAACAAACACTCGAAACTGCAAGACGCCAGCAGTGGCGGTTGTCACTTACGATCCCACCCTCTATTTGTAGATGTCCTCCTTGTCCGCAACGTACTGGATGATGTCCGCCGGCTTCACCAGCTTCTCGGCGTCCGTGTCCGGAATCTCAAAACCTGTCCACGCAAGAAAATTACAGTAAAATAGTCTGTTGTTGGGCGAGTTGGTGAACGTTTGGATTCATAGTTTTGCGCAAAACCATGAACCAGTTGCGCTCGTGTTTGTTTCTCTCTCTTGTGTCCGTCTTTTTTGTTCAAAATTATGAATCCAAAAGAAAATGACACTTTGGGATGGGCGACGCCGTCAGTGGTGCCTCGTAGTTTCTTTTGCGTACATTCGCCTTTACTCCCCCACTTTTCTTCCTCTTTTACTCCCCTTTGACCCCATTCTACTTACTCCAGCACCTGTCCTGTGAATTTTTTAACACTTCTGCCGCTTCACTTTTTTCATGTTTTCTCGCGTGCAAGTAATGCATTCATTTTCGAGGGAAGAAGGGTCGTAGCATTCATTCCCATAAGGAGAAGTGGGCGGTCCGATGTACCAGTCAGATAAAATCCCGGATGTACCTGTCACAGATTTTTGTGATTAACTGCCAAAACGAATTAAAAGCCTGCTTGAAATAAACTACAGCAACGTTCGGTCCCACAAGGGTGCGACACCTTGATTTAGCGCAAAGGAAGTGAGTAGATGGCGTTGGGAAAACTTTCAGCGAAGAACTCGCCCAAACCAAAAATTACGAGTGAAAACCCAAATGTATGTGCAGTGCAATCCACTTATAACGACAACGAGAAAACCCGAAATTTCAATCGTTATAACCGATTATCGTTTCTGGACCAGAATCTGATCTTTTTTAGACTAGAAACTCGAGAAACTCATCGTTGTAAGCAATGCATCGTTATATGTGGTACCGTTGTAAGTAGAACGCACTGTATAAACCTGGGGTCTCCAAACTTTATGGCTGAGGAACCAAAAAAAAAAAAAGAGTTAAAATTAAAAAAAAAAAGAACACTAAATAAATAGACAAGGGAAAATACAAAAAATTTTAAATAAAATCAAATTAAAAAAAAAAGTCTAAGGTATATTATTAGAAATCCTACGTGCAAGTAACCTGACTTAAGAGGATTCAGTTCAATATATACCGTAATATCCCTAGAGATAGCCCACCTTAAATCGAAAACCAGTACGATAAAAAAAAAAATTGAAAAAAATGCTAGTTTTAGATTTAGTGACCTGCAAAACTTGAGATTGCAGGGAGCCCCTTCCAGCGATCTCAACGGCGATTTCGGCCGAGGTCACCAATGACCTGCGTTTACTATAGTCGGTTGCAAGCTAAGAAAAAACCGGAAATGCCTCTCAGAGGAAAATGTAATCCTACGCCGAGAAACGCCAGCCAATCGTTTTCATGACGTCACGATTCCGTGGACCAATCGCAATCCTTTTGAAAAGAAAAAAAAAAAAAAAGCTCAACATGGCTGCTGGCCTTAGCAACGCGACGCTAGTTTCTCGTGACAATTATTCTGCTTTTTTTCACAGTGTTTTACGTACCCGAGGTTACGCCACGAAATCTTAATGGTATCGGCTTGCGTTTGCAGCAGTTTTTGCGCGACAACGTGAGAATCCAGCGACGCTATCGCCAACGAACATTTCGAAACGGGCGCGAGGCTTAGCACTGCTGAGAGGTGAGAAGCTACGCCGGACGTCGTCTGCTTCGTTGGATTTCTGTCGCCCCTGCCCCACGTTGCTACTCAACATAGTACCGGCACCGCTGCTTCAATTCGCTGTGGTTTCCGCGGGGTGAGCTGAGACTGCCGTGCTTATCAGTTCGAAACCCGACCTCGCTTGTGCTTCCTGAAGAACCGCTTTGGTGTCGCCGGTAAGGCTGCACCAGGCTGTTTCGTCCAAGAACAATCAGGGGAATCGCTTTCCGATGTCACCTCAGTGGGATCCATGACCGAAGACAAAGAGAGCGGGGCGCAGTGGTGGTGTCGATGACTTGGGAGGGTGCCGATTTGTCAAAACCCGAAAAGTATAATTATTCTTGTTTTCTATTCATCCAACAAAATAAAGGCACACATTTCGTGCGCAAAGCCCACAAAACTAAGTAAATCACTAAATATTTATTATTTGCAGGAACTATAAGTGCTTCGCTTTCCCTCAATCGAAGGCCCTGGAGGACGGTATGTTAGACAGCATCTTGGACAGAAAATGAATTGGGAAGACTGTACATTGGACATGATTTTCTTTCTTTACTAAACAGCTATTTCGTTGACAAAAACGTATTCTAACTTATTTAAATGTCCTGAATGAATTAAATAAATATTGTAGAAGTTTAAGACACGTTTCGAAGAAAAAGCATTGTTGCTAGCGAACTACTTTCTCGACGGCGGAGGCACTTCAGATGGGCGCAATGCGCTTGTGGGTGGAGCTAAAAGATTGTTCTCAGGTTGCATCCGACTATAGAAGACTAATGAAAATGCCAAGAATGATATAGTAATATGCAAAACTTATCACACCGGAAAACGCGCAATAATTTTGATGTAATTACACAAAACAGCGGACTAAGAATGGAGATGCTGGTGATGACAATGCGCAATGAACGTGACACAAAACTATTGGTGGGACGAAAAACAAAACGGACACGAAGCGTGAGGTGAGGGTCACAGTGTCGTTTTGTACGTCCTTATTTTTGCGTTAACAGAAGCAGGCCCACTGGAAACGGACCGTGGGCCAGGCATCACTGCAAGGACCGCAACCAGCCGTGGGCCGGGGTTTGCGGACCCCTGGTATGGACCGACATAAAATGTAAGTCCACTTCACAACAAAAACGTAAAACTTGCCACACGGGAACGTCTTGAGAATTGCTACACTCCCCTTCACCCTAGAATGGATCGAACGGAAGTTGTAAGCCGTCCCAGCCATGCTAATGCTGTGAACATCCTTAGCCGTATTCGCCAGTCGGGACTAACTGGCGCCGTCTCGAAGTCAGTTGTGCGTCCAAGCAGTCGCGAGCCGAGTCACGTGATGCGGTGCATCACGTGACTCGCTGTCGCGAAGGCAATGGACACCATGGAGTTTACCTGTGCGCACAAGACGAGCAGCCAATTTCGCGCACCCATAGCGACCTGCCTTCCGGGACCGATCGAAACTGTCAAAACCCAGATAAACTCTGTTTCACCTCACGACAGATGGCGGCGGCAGATGCTACAGAGGTGTAGCAATGCTCGGGGTTGCGTAGTCACACGATTTGTGTGCAGCGCTTGCTTTGCTGGGATTGGGCGCGTTCAGTAGCACCTCCCTTGCCTCCGAACGGAGTGCCTCGAGTCGGAGTCATCGGAGCGCCTACTGAACGGCAAAAAAACCCGCGGCTCCAAACCTGCTTCTACGCAACTTCCGCTTCCTCCCCTGTGCCAGACGGTCTCCGAATAAACTGGAAGCAGACGATGGCGAGCACGATCGCTTTTATTTGACGCCGGTATTGAAGAAGTCTTTACAAGGTCGTTAAAGAAAAAGCGAGTGATTGTACACATCAGCGCTGCTGTTCGAAGCGATGCAACGCGATCGAGCCTCTCGCTTGGCGGTGCAAAGTCAGCTACTGTTATAAAAGCCGACAAAAATCGTCGTCAGTACACGCAAAATACCGAGCTCAGCGAATCTACCCCGCCGGTTGCGATACTTTTATACGGTCATAAGTTTGTTCTGCCCTTCGTAACGAACTTCCTATAAAATGTATTTGTATACACACGGGAAGTTCGGCCGCGCTCGGCGATCAAGGTTTTGTCGGCCGAAGCGAGCCTCAGCCAACGTGCACCCCGATTTAGCTACGCAAACAAAACATTAATCGGTATCATGCTCTGCGTGAGTGTCCAACCGGCTTCCAAAGTCGCGTTCATACCCTGTTTTTCTCTGTTGAGCGCGGACAGGACTATCGTCAATATTACCGAGTTTCCGTGCAACGGCGATCAAGAGACGGCGCGTCAAATGAACGTTTGCGTTGTTTATTAGCATATTCAAACCAAACAAAATACGGTCCAATGCATTTTCCGAAAGAGCCTTACCTCAAAAAGATATTCGAACGCGTTATTCGTCTTACCTTGAGCACTTTTCATTAACAAAAGCGAGCAAACCGCGCACCCGCTACAGAACCGAAGCAGCTTATCCCGCCATATTGTTTGTTTTTTACTCTTTTAGCGCCGGAAATCGTCACCAGTCAGGAAATGACGTCATTTTAGCTCCTTTGACTCTACGTGCACCGTCTCCGGACTCGGTGCTTCGGAGCTTGACTCCGAAGCCCCGGAGTTACGTGCACCGGAAGTGACTTTTGGCCGTCCAGTGGAAGGAGTCAGTGACTCCTTGACTCCGGGGCCGCTACTGAACGCGCCCATTGCCTCCGAAGGTCTGCTGCAATTCGTCGTGATTACGGGACGCTAAAAAAAATTTATCTTTACGTCAAATTTTTTTTTTTTTTTAGACATGCACTCTTTAATAGAATATAATAAAACTTTTTTTCTTTTTGTTTTAAAGCCAGAAATCTCAGATTGAGAGGAATTGGGCAACGTTAGGAGGCCTAGGGGAGGAATAATGTTTTTGCTTTCAAGGCTAGGTGCCGCGAGCTACCGCCCGTTGTAAATACAGCCGTTGGCATCCATCCACTCGTCCGGTGGAGAAATACCCGGAACTGGGCGGAGCTCAACGGAATGAAGCGTCAGAAGTGTGCGTCTCGAACTGTCGTGCGCAGCGAGTCGGAGCGGCCTTTTTTTTTTTCGGTCGTTCGTACGGCGAATTGGATAGTTTTGTAGGGCTTGTGTCGCAAACTTTTAGCAATTAAACCCTGCAGTACTCACGAGCGTAAGTGACATAAAAAAAATTAGCCACGGGTGCGCATACTTAAAAGCCACTGCATGAATGTGGATTGTACCACGTGAAAACAAACATTTAGATATTGACTAGCAAAAATGAAATGTTATAATGAACCTCCAATTGCCGAAAACAAGGTTAAAAAAGAAAAGGGCAAGGGAGAAAACACGAAAGCCACATTCCCAGCGACATAAACAAATACGGCGTAAATATGGGCTTTCCTGTCGTCCTTTGCCTTGCTTCGGATCGCTTTAGCGGCATCTCTGACCTCTGAATGTGTCCGTTCCAATCATGTCTGCTCCTCCGATACTTTTTGGATGAATCCCCCAGCGTTTCAAGACAGTAAGTGCTTCGTTAGCACTGGCTGTCAGCAGTGGTAGGGGTCGCGGCCATAGCGCGGAGGAGCAAGTCACTGGCTAATCTAGCCGTATGTTTTGACCCCGGTGTAATGCCCCGACCAAGCTTTTTTAGTCGCCTTCTAAGCCCTGAGCAACTTAGAACATGGTCGGTGAATATGGAGTGCCTACCTAGCTGCAAATACCGCCTGCCACATGATCATTTTAATAGATGACCTAGATAGTCAGTGGTTAAACAGGCGCTAGTCACGTCTGGTGAATACGGCTGCCTATGTGACTACATGCCCCAGACGTCACTGCACACCTTTCAGAGATCACCTGACGCCCACACGGCACTGGACTGCCTCGGAGGTCTCATAGCGTCTGTTGCGGTTCAGCGTAAGGTGAAACAGAGTATAGTGTAAGGAAAGGTCACACAGAAATGTCTGGACTGCAGTCCTTGGAAGCGACCACCAAAAATAGCCAACAGCGTCTGGCTTCAGCAGCGGTCCTCACCGAATTCGTCTTCAATGGCCATGATGACCTCGACACAGTCCAAGCTGTCCAGGCCAAGGTCGTAGATGAAGTGGGACTCCAGGGTGAGCTGGGACAAAAAGGCGACACGCCCGCACAAACGTCCACTTTCAGCACACCTCTTCCCGCTATCAACACACACGGACGACGCACGAAACATCTTCACCGAAGTGTCTTTCGGCCGTAGCAGTTCTGCAAGTTAAATAGGCGTGATGCCTTACACCTAGGGCTAGAAAATTGTGGGTGTCAAGAAATAAATGACAATTCTTAAGATGGAGGATTGGGCAAGTAAGTTGGCTCTTCATACATATAATTTAGAGTGCACAAGAACAATATGGGAGTGGGTGTTCCACTGTGGATTGTTCCTGTGCGCTGTAAATTGTCAGTGTAAATGACATGTTTATTCAAGAAACACAAACGCTTCTTAGATGCACAGTATTGCAGTGGCACACTGCTCTCTCATAAAAGACTGAGCGACAATTGGCTAACATGGCACATGACTTGCACGATTTGCACTTTTCTTAAACTGAAAAGTGTGAGCTTTCCCAAAAACAATAAATCGGGCACTAGAAAGCGGTTAGAAAAAGGAAAGTCAATGCATTTCAGCTACTTAATACTCCTGGAGTAACTAACAGACCGGATGCTTTGAGCTGCAAATGATAAACGGTAGTTTTGTGGCCAAGCCATTGGCTCTTGTAGACAGGGATGTCTATGCGATTAGCAGAGATTAATTAAGAGTAAAGTGAAGTGTTCTCATTCATTCACATTATCACTTCTCAGCCACAAATGCTCAGTTTTCACCTTTACTTTCCAGTGTTTACAATGTCCATCTGCCGACACACTTTAACTTCCTAGAGCATTTTGCCTGAAGCTCTCGCTACAGAGTGGAAACTCTCACTTCCGCGATTCTCGGAAGATCCAGTGATCCCAAGAATCACTCAGCCACGTGGAAGCTGCGCTTGAAGTGGATGGATGAGCAGATACATACAACTGAGCCCTTTGAATCGGGTGGTTGCTTGTGCCACCTAACCAGTGTCTTTAAAGGGACACTGACAGAGTATATCTATGCTAGCCAAGGTTTTCATTTGAAGATGACGTACGAGAGCCCCAGCTACTGAAAACATAATTTGCGGTTAAAAATTTATTTTTTCCTCCTGAAAAACCACTGATCAAGAACTGGACGGTTTGAGTCACGCTCACTCTCTTCTCTGTGGTCACGTGCCGTTCGAACACACACACCAAATTTAATCAGTCATAAAAAAGTATGAAACCCTCATGGCTTTTAAAAATAACTGCAAATACGTTGATTGAAAAAAAAAAAAAATAAAGTTGCAAAAACTACCGGAAGTACATGTACTGCGTAATCCTCAAGATGGCATTGTTTCGCTGGAGTAGCAGGCTGGACGGTTGGACAAAGAGGACTCAGCGAAGGCGGCGGACGACAGGTGTGGAACCTTTATTTAGAACTGTTGTTTGCAATACCGGCGAAGCTGTCTAGTTTCGAAAGAGAAATTTTTTTACCAACTAAAAAGATTAGGATTTATTCCGCACGAAACGCTTGACCACCGAGCTGATTCGCACGAATATGTCACCGAGTCGTTGCCCCTTCTCCTGGACGAAGACATCGCTCGTCTTATGAACACGAATTGGTAAGAGCTTAAAAAACAGAAAAATGTCAAGCATGAAGCGCTTGACGTTTGCACTTTTTTCAGCTGCTTCACACAACCAAAAAAATGACACAGTTGGGCGTAGACATATGACTTCCGAGAACTCCCTCCTCATTTACATTTCTCCTTTCTCTCCAGTCCACATGTCGCGGCCATTAACTCTGTGCTCATGTTTCGGTTTCGAGCAGTTATGTTTTTTTACTTTATTAAAAATAATAGACTGTAGCAAAATATTGATCGGGTAGTCTTTTAATACTGTAATAAATTGCCGGGCAAAAAATACAATTTTTTGAGGGTGTGTCAGTGTTTCTTTAATATCAACAATCAACCTCTAATTAAAGTACGAAACATCAAGCATGAAGTATAGACCAAATTTATTCTACCTGGCTGCAACTTAACAGCCACTATACCATTTGCATCAAATGAAATTTGTGTAGGCACCTCGAGGGCACTGTCACTTTGCTGCATAGAACCTCATGGGCCATGAAATTTTAATTCAATTGTTGCTTATATATGTTGTAGACATTGCACAACCATTGTTTATGTTGTGACCACTGCAAAACCCTCATTTATTTGTCAGAAGCATCGCATAATCTTTTTCTTTTGTTGTAACCCTCCTATAACTGTTGATTTATGTTGCAACCATTCCCTAGCTTTTGTTTATTTATGTTGCAATCACCAGAAGAACTGTTGTTTATGTTGTACATACCTTATAATTTTATTTCATTTCACATTGTAGCTGCGTATAAACTGTTCTTTATGTATGTTGTAACTATTGTAAACTTGTTTATTACTGCTGCCACAGTACAAGGTCGTCGAAATAAACCCAGAAAATTAAATTCACCATATTCAGAAAAACCCAATTCAATTCACACGACTCACTTGTACTATACCATTTCATCATCATTGGAATCGGCACCGCAGGCCTTCAAAATAGGAGCGATCTGCTTTTCTGCGGTGACATGGCTCTCCTGAGCTAAAATAAACATACCATGTTATATCATATCATATATAACACACAGAGGCAAAGTTAAATTGAATATTAACCGTTTCCTGTGCTTTGCTTGGTCTTCCTGCTTGAGAGATAATCTGAATGTTTTAGCAATGCTGTAAACTTGTGCCTTCTTGCAGCCATACCATGCAATGATTCGCTTGGGCAACTTTTTGGTGCGAAGAGATTCAAGTAGTGCTGCCCTCCGGCAGCACTACTTGACTCTCCGGCAGCACTACTTGTATGTCTGCTGTCGGATCACGTGGTGGCAGAAGTGCAATAAGGCTGATTAGCTTCACTATTATTGAGAGATGAAATCTGGAGAAAGTCCACAATTATCTCGACGACCCTGTATAACCGTCTATTGTATACCTTCCTTATTGCTGTATGTTAATAATGATTAATGTGCAATGCAAGCCTCTTTGTAAGTTAATAAATACAGCAGGCGTTTGCTAAGGAGCCCCGTGTATCCAAATTTTTTACACGCAGGCTCAGGGATGGGCAGTATTCCAAATACAAGTGTTTGAAATACATATTTCAAATACTGTGTGTATTTTGCATTTGTATTTAATTACAAATTGGGTAATGTATTTGACATGTGTATTTAAATACTAAAACCTGGGTATTTCAAATACAATTCTAATACAATTTTGTGGGCTAAAATACATCCCTCAAATTTATTGTCACTGTCCAGAGCAGGAAGAAAACTATGTTCTGCACCGAATGCAGTGTCTCTCTATCAAGCACAAGCCTTTAGTGACTTTGTGATTACGGTGCCAGTCCAGGGCAAGAATAGCGACGAAATCGACATTGACAGGCAGACTGGCTAAGTAAGTGCCTGTGACAACTTGTGATGCTTTTCAGCCTGATTTCCATCCATATTTTTGCCTGGAACATTCTAAATGCCTGGGTCGTCCAGATTTTCGTAACTGGTGCGAGTTGCAACAATAAAAAATTCTCTAGCTAGTGCTGTGCGTCTTGGTCGTCTCGGTTCTTTGTTGGTCTCTATACCAAAATGTAATTGACAAAAAAAGCTGCTTGAAGCTCTGTACTTTTTTCACCCATTAAGTCCAAGCTGATTACATTTTTTTGTGATTATATTTCTATTGCGTTACTACAGCCTCGCACACCAACTCCCGAGTGTGCGATGCAAAATTAAAATGAGATACCCAGAAACCCATTGCAGGTGCCCTGAAGTTGCTGACGTAAATTTTGAGGAATGTATTTGGAAAAGTATTTGGAGGAGACCAATACATTTAGTTGTATTTTTATCTTGTACTTAAATGCTTTTATGAAAATGTAATTAGATTTGTAATTAAATACATTTTTGACAAAGTATTTTGTATTTGTATTTCGATACATATTTGCATGTATTTTGCCCATCCCTGCGCAGGCTATGGATGGACTGGATGATGTGAACTACACATGCTGACAGGGTAGAGACTATAGTATGAAAAATATGATAACAACAGGCTAGGTGCCGCCAGCTACCGCCTGACACAATGGGTTAGCCGCCACCACCCATTCATCTACCCGTGTAGCCCCACAAGTGTTACTCCCAAGCGCATGTTATTCGCAGCCCTGAGCCTCACCTTCTCGGGGTCAATCTTGTCGTAGAGCTTGAGCACCAGCATGGTCCTATCTCGAATGGAGTCAAAGGTTAGGGGTGGCTTTTCACTGTAGTGTCTCGTCGGCACCAGCACAGGCTGGCTCGCCACAGGCACCTGAAAGAGGACAGAGTGTCATCCAACATCTTGGTTACCAAGACTCGCAACTCATGCTTCGGTACTATAAACAACCAAGAGCACGAAGGACGGACAAGTACAAAATTACACGGATGGGATTAGCGCTATTATAGAGCTAGTCGCGTCTATCTGTTTCTGTCCCTTGTCACCCCTTCAAGTTTCTCGTTCATAATGGTTATCCAACTAGCCCACCCTAATATTGCGTAATTGCTCTATAACGAAAAATGCAATGTTCATCCCTCTCAAGGACATGAGCTTGAAGTGGACACAAAACAGAGAATAAGCTCAAGAGACAAAACGCAGGAGTAGAAATACCACGCCATGCACATGTAACGTTTTTCGAAGCCTTGTTCAATAAAGTATTTGTCATTGCTATCTTTCTGTACTGTTGCAGAAAACGTGAGCTGAGACAGTCCTTCGAGCCCTCTTTGGGCATACCGACCAGTTTTCGAGAAAGCTGTGGTTTGAACTAGGATTGGAATGCAAAGTTCAGGTCTCATACTTTCAGGACTTTGACACACAAGGATAAAAGAGCTCGGGGGCAGCACAGGTGCAGAAAAAGGGGTACATCGGATGTTTCAGCTCGCACTGTCCGCAGAGGTACCAAAGACGTTACGGTACATCGCCGTTGTCAATCAACAATCTGTGTGTGGAAGGGCACAGGTTTCTGAACGCAGCATGGAAGAAAGCAGTGCAATATTTGCTTATTCTTTTGTAATTTCTTTCACACCTATTTCTGACCTTGTCTGAGTAATGAAACTTTTGTGTATTTCATGCATGTTTCGTGAATTGCAACTCAGCGACACAACTTCAAACGCTGTCGATAACATCATCAAAACAAAGTAGACCACGAGTCACACGTTTGGAGAATATAGTTGGTCATGACCGGTTTTAAAAGCGACAAAGTTGAACGCTACGTAGAGTTTGCGACGGTGTCTGTCCGACCGGCATACAAGCGCAATGACCCTTTAATCGTCCCAGAGCACTTTCCTTGTAAAGCAGCGATACAAGTGGAGAAAGTAACTGCTCCTTCGCAATGGAACGCGTGCGTTACGATTGAAAACACAACCGCAAAAATCAATTTGCCGATAACGCTTATGCCCAAGCCGGCTCGTGTCTCGGCGCAGAGGAAAAATGCCCTGGCGTAGCGGCGCCCATGTGAACAGGCAAGGTCAAAGCGAGTTTTGCGGTTGCAAGCTACCGGCGGCACTCGCACGAGGAAGGATTAAAGTAATACACTCTGCGCGAGCAATGCGAGCTTTAGGGGCACTTTAAGAGCGGATTTCGGCCAACTTTTTGAGCGGGTTGTGGAGTTTTGGAGGAGAGCGGCGTTGCTTAGGCCTCCGGAGTGTCCTCACCTGTGCGCTGGTCGGGAACACCGCAAGGCGCAGGGATTCGGGTATCTGTTTGCATAGGGCACGGTGCTTCGTTGCTAGCGACGAAAACTGCCGTGAGCGCGGCCTGAGGGCCACATTCTCCAATTTCAGGCTCAACCTTGCTAGCCGTGTGATTATCGCCATTTTGAAGAGTGGGTCCCAAAAGCCGCCGCCAGGGGCGGAGCCAGCGGTGACCTCACTATCTGATGGATACACGCAGACACCCGCATAGAAAAAGTGGCCAAAGCTCGTGAGAGTTCTGAGCAACGTTGTTCTGACATTAGGGACAAAATATTTACCCTGATAAAATTAACTCCCATAATATAAAACATTTCAAGTATTTCAATTCTTTAATTGCCGTTATATTATGGTTATAGCAATTAGGTGTCGAATTCAGGCTAACCAGTAAGCCCTGGCTAGGTGACGCGAAAAAACGTCCACTTCAAAGAAAAGATCTACTACATTATCTATAGTTATTTTTAAGCACCAGTTTTACCACTTTTAATTAAAAAAAATTAAATTATAACTTACTTATCTCACAATTAAAACGATAAATTAATATTTATTTAGCGTTTATAGTTGATTTGTAATATATTCTTCTTTCTGCGTTGTTAGGGCAACGCTCTGGGCTTGAAAAATGGCGGACGACGATTTCCGCGATGTCTTGCTCGAGCTGGAAAGGCTCGAGGAGGGCGACAAATTCGTTCGCAAACGGGCCCTGGAGAACATCTGCTCCATCGTAAACACGATGCACGCCGACCTACCCGAGAACAAGCGCAAGGTGCTCGTCTCCGTCGTCATAGGACCCGTTCTCGGCGCGCTGGCTGACTCCACGGAACGATGTCGCGAGCTCGCCGCTCAGCTGTTGCTCGACATCAGCTCGATGCTGCCGCTGTCGGACGACGTGATCGGTAAGATCGTGCCGACGCTCCGCCGGAGGCTTTGCGGTGCCGACGGGCATGGCGAGACGTCGGAGGAAGTGCGGCTCCTCGAAGCGCAAGCGCTGACGCGGACTATCATGGGCGCCGGGGCCAAGTGCGCCAAGCATCTCAACGACGTCGTCGTCACGCTGTGCGCCTGTCTGTGGGACGCCTTTTACGAAGTGAGGAAAGAAGCGTGTCGGTGCGTCGTTCAGCTGGAAAAAGCGGCACCCGATCACTTCCACCTGCAATGCGACTCCATGCTGGAGCCGCTGCTGCAGGCGCTCAGGCATCAGCATTCGGCAGTCCGCACGCTCGCCATGCAGGCGCTCGGTAAGAGAGGGGGGAGGTGCACGTTTTCCCATACTGCAGGTATGGGCACTGCGCATGCGCAGAAACCAGACTCGCGTAAAGTAGCGTCCACGCATGCGCCGTACCGACAGCAGCGCCACCACAGTGGCATGACATCAGAAGCCGAGCGTTGGTGTAAAAGACCACTGCCACGGTCGGATACTGTGAACGCGTGCCTATGTTATTCGCGGTTCCTAAATCCGTTTCTTCTTGTGATAGACTGCAGGAGACGCTACAGCCCGTAGAAGCCAAACCAAATCGTGCGAGTGTCACGTGGCGTTCGGGAGATACGGAGTGTTGTGGGATGCACGTGGTCACGTGACACACTCGCATCACTGTATTGACTGAGATGGCTCATAGCGTTTTCTTTGTGGTTCGTCGCAAAGTGAAACGTAGTACATTAGTTGACATTGGGCGAGTTCAGTAGCGGCTGCCTCAGCTTAAACGGAATAACTCAAATCGGAGACCTCGAAGCTCCTACTGAACGGCAAAAAAAGCACGTCTCTTCAACTGCTCTTACGCAGTTTCCACTTCCTTCCCTGTGGCAGACTGTCTCCGAATAATATGGAAGCAGACGATGCAGAGCACTATCGCTTTTAATTAATGCTGGTATCGAAAAAGCCTCGACAAGGTCGTTAGAGAAAAAACGAGTTACTGTAGGCATCAGTGCTGCTGTTTAAAGCAATCTAGCCCTTTGCAGGGCGGTGCAAAAGCTGCTACGGTTATAAAAACAGGAAACAACGTCAACACGTGCAAAATATGGAGCTCAGCCAATCTACCCCGCCAGTTACGATACTTTTATACGGCCAGACATTTGTTCTGCACTTCTTTACAAACTTCCTATAAAATGTATTTGTATACACACTGGAAGTCGGCCGCACTTGGCGATCAAGGTATTGTCGGCCGAAGCAAGTGTCAGCCCACGTCTCACACACCCCAATTTAGCAACGCAAACGAAACATTAATCGGGATCATGTTCTGCGCGAGTGTCCCCAAAGTCACATTCATACCCTGCCTTGCTCTGTTCATCATGAACAGGACTGTCGTTGATAATCACAGTTTCCGTGCAATGGCAATCGAAGCGCGGCGTCAAATGAACGTTTAGTGGTTTTTTGAACATATCCAAAACAGACGAAATACGCTCCGAGGCATTTCCCGAAAAGAGCCTGAGCTGGAGATGAAATTCGAACACGTGGTTCGTCTTACCTTGAGCACTTTTTATTAACGAAAGCGAGCAAATCGCAGACCCACCACAGCCGACACAGCTTCTCCCGCCATTTTGTTTTTTCCTCTTTCAGCACCGGAACTTCGTCAGCGATCCGGAAATATGTCATACCGCGCTCCTTTCGCCCCTCGCGCACCATCTGAGGACTTGGTGCATGAGAGCGCGACTCCTTTACTCCGGAGTTACAGACACCGGAAGTCGCTTTTTGCCGTCTTTTGGAAGGAGCGCAAGCTCCTTGACACCCGAAGTTGCTACTGGATGCGCCCATCGAACCATGGATGTAAATCAATCACTCGTAGAAAGCTGAGAAGCAACATCTCAACTAGAGTCATTTGTGGTAATTTTTTTGTTGAAAGCTAATAAGTACTCGTATATGTACTCAGTACAGAACCAGCTTTCATCATCGTTACTTGAGTTGAAAGTTTTATCTGAATGAAAATTTAAAGGCCTCTAACTTTAACTCACCTCGCAGATTGAGTTCGTAATTTTGTGTGCATTTTCAAACCTAACTTGTTAGCCACCTTTTTTTAAAAAAAAAAAGATTAACCTTTTATTGAAATAAAGTTTTGCTGAATTTAAATGCTCATTTATCCAGTAGATTCCATAGGGAATCTTTCATCCGGGGAAATGCTATGCGACATATTTTACGTATAATTGTTCATTCTCTATTGCCAATCAACTTTGAAAAATGTCGATTGCGCGACACAGGACCGATCCTGGAGCAAGGTGACTGCCGGTCCCTCACGCCAACCATCGCGTCCACCGTGGCCGAACTTCTTGACGACCGTTCTACGGCCGTTCGTCTGGCCATGGTCACGGCTGTGGCCAGGTGGCTGGCCAAGGACTTTGGCCCCAACGTGCTTCACATCATGCTGATTTCCCTCACCGATCAGATCAACAGGTGACTGCCATTTTGTCTGATGGGGAATCCACTATTTTAACCTCTTGACGGTTAAGTTCTTTTTTTTCACGAAAGGTGTTTCCCAGTGGCCGGGTTTTGTTTCCAAAAGAATGGTACAAAGAAGGGATCAATGCGCAGGTCTTTTTCTTGATTATCTGCTGGGAGCACGTGCAGTGCTTGCGAATTGTTCAGGTTTAGAATCATCATATGAAAATACTGAAGGTGAAAAGCTGACAGCTTTCTTCCATTCGATTTCCACTTTTATGTCCGCTCTCGCAGCATTTCGGCGGTTTCAGATTCCAAACCGGAGGCACTTTACGAAGCTCTTTTGTCGGACGGTGAGCGCTCAGCCTCTGAATTCAATTCTGAGAAAGCGTTAAAAGTCTAAATCGGAAGAGCCGTCACTCCAATTGCCACTATTGCCAGAGAAGCTGACATGCAAAGCAACCATCTCGTGCATATCATGCGTGGAACATTTACTTTTAAAACGATAAATAACCCCAGTAAAGCAAAACATTGTGTGAACATAATGTCTCTAGTTCGTCATAGGCATAAAAAATAGCAACGCCTCCCGCATTGCACGCAGTTGCCCCTTTAGGCGAACACTTTCGGATGTCTAACCGCTGCCGTAGATGTTCGCCGAGGACCGTTGAAGGCCTAAGAACTACCCTACTCTGAGGATATTTGGTAGGTGGAACAATCGAGAAGTTGGTACCAAACTTTGGGCAGTAAGGCTAGATACCTCTGGCTCTTCTGAACGGCAGGGACTAGGGTTCAGCTCCACAAACATCACCTCATGCCCATTATGGATTACGTATCTTGTCTTCCAAATTTGTACAAAGATTCCTTGTTTCCTTTTTTTCTGACCTTTGCAAAGAAAAACTGGGGAGAGGAAACGAAATACTCTCAAGCTTCTACTATTGTTGGGTGCAGCAGTTATTTTGAAAATGGTGAATTTCATTTGCCGATCTGGAGCAGCTCAAGAGCACTCTGGTTTAGTAATCTTCCTTCTTGCGTTTATTGAGCTTCACAGTCCTGCCAAAAGACGATTATACAAGATTTAGACAAATGAAAATGTAGAACTCCAACGAAGATAAAAATAAATGCACATTGGACAACTCAAGAGCTTATAAGAAAATAGTTAAAATAAGTGGTAATTTGGTTTAGTATTAATACCATAATATTAAAAATATTACTTTTGTACTGGAGAAATCGGTTAATAACATAAAATTGTGCCTGTGGCTATAAATTAAATTGAATAGTGCATTGTTCTTGTGTGCATGTTCTTGTCGGTTTTAGCGTAAGGGACAAAGCTGTGGAGCTGTGGAGAATGGTTGGTGGGCTCTACGTCGATGATCAAGGTCTGCGTTATGGTGAGTTTTGTTTTACCCAACATCGCAAGTTAGGCTTCACATAGTTCTCAAAAAGGATGTATTAAAAAGAAAACAGTCAGATTGCCATAAATATTTAAACGGAAACCATTGCCATTGCCTTATCTCGCAGTACCACTACCATCAGCTGTTGAAGAGAGGGTTTTTATGCAATCCGCTCGCACAGTTATAAACTTATGCCATCTGTTTGACATTTGAAGTTGCTTAGATTCTCCTAAACCACTTTTACAGAGCAGCTTTAGTTTGGCCACCTCGTTGGCACGGGCTTGAGCGCCGCTATTGCATTTGTTATTTGTTGCAAACTTTCTCGTTCGTGTCGAACAACTGGCGCCATCACAGAGAGTCGCTGTAATGCTGTCACGACAGTGGCTTCGTAACACACTCAATGTGGTGTCTGGAATGAGTCTTTGACTGGTGTGTTTAGCATCCCAAACTGCCCATTCTTTGGAGGTCGTCCTGTAATGGCAACAGACGGCGCCGGAAGGCGCCGTCGTTTGCCATTACAGACGACCTCTGTAATGAGGTCGTCTGTTTTCTGGCTGATGACGCTTCCATGGTTTGTCAAGCCGGAGAGTGGCCTGCAGCAGAACAAAGGCGTTTGCCACACCCACCTCCACCGCTGTTCGAGGGATGTTTGAGGACCACGTTTGAGGACGTTTGAGGGGGCCACATTCGAGGACGCGCTAAACGCACCAGTGGGAGGCACGTTCCACGCACCATGCTAACGGCAGTTTCTCCGTCAGCCGCGGTGGAGGCAGATGGCTGCCGCCTGCTGGTGCAGCGCCATCTGGGGCACCTGATCGGCGTGGCTCTGGAGGACTTAGAGGCGTGGCGGGTGGAGGAGCGCCGACGCGCGGCTAGATTGCTCAACGAGACCTTCGGGTACGCGGGGACCCTCGCGGCTCCGCACCTGGGGGCGGCCATGCCCGTGCTCATCGCCGCCCTCTGCAGGGACGAGGAGGAAGTTCTCAGCTGGGTCAGTGTGCTTCGTTCGAAACCGCCTCGACGAAACCCAATTTTTCGGACACTTCTAAATTTTCAGACATCTGTTTTTGTTATTTCTGAGAGGTCCGTTCAGTAGCTGCTTTATCGGTGTATTGCCCTTGTTTATTTTATATTTTTGCCTACTTAATCTTTTCTACTGAACTATGTTAGGAATATCTTTGACGAATAATACTGGGACTGAACCGATGGTGTCTAATTTTTCGTCTCCGTCCTGACGTGAGTGGCATACATCCGCAGTAGAGACCTCTTGAGGGCATTATCGTGTCTATCCGTGCTTCTCTCGCTGATAATTTGTGAAATACTACGGTATTCTGCCGCTTATTTTTTTGCTTCATCTTATAGACCAACACGCGGCCGTGACGTCACGCAGCTGCGGTGGCGCTGTCGACTGCACTGCGCATGCGCAGACGATTCACTTCGCATGAATTCGGTTTCGGCGCACGCGCAGCGCCCACACCTGGTGTGGGCAAACGAGGGCTTGTTTGTAAACAGCGCGTCGGTCTATACGAGAGGAGAAGCCAACAAATATGAAGCCTGTCTAACCATCATAATGGAAACATGCAAACTGGAAAACGTCACGTCTATTGTAGGACCACATATTCCCCATTTACTCTACGACGCTGGGACAAAAAGGTTTGTAGGTGTACTGTTTTGGTCACAGTTAGCAGGAACATGGGAGAGCGTGACCTCGGGTACCATCAGAGCGCTCCGACGGACCAATGCGCAACTGCAACGGCAATAATACGGATGTGGCACAGTTGTGTGCCGAGCATTTCGGAACGTTTTGACGGTACCATATGCCACGCGCTCCCGTGTTCCCGCTAACTGCGATTAAGATAGTGCAGTGATCTCCTCTGTTTTGGAACCTCTCCTGCGCGAGTACTAATTAGAGCGTTTGGCATATCTTGTTTCGTAGGTGACAATGAGCCTCGAGGCAGTGAGCCCCTCTGTAAGCCCCGAGTGCTGGCTCACGGCCTTTGGGGGCCCGTTCTCGACGGGGGCACTGCACGCCTTTGCGGCCCTGGTCAGGCCCTGCCCCGAGGAGAAGCTGCGACCGTACGCCCAGCCCCTGTTCGCCATCCTGTTCCAGTACGCTGGCGCCGCTGCCGACACGGTACGAAACTATTCCCACACATTACTGTTGGAAGGACGCCGTACGCTAGTAAGGTCATTGTACAACCTGCTTGTTGTAAATTATAAATTTTGTGCTCAAAGTTCCGTTAATGTTATAAGCTCTGTTTGCCTCTTTTGTGGTTGTGTTCTTTGGTGCTTTTATATCTTTGAATTCTTGTTCTTCTAAACTGTGTTGGATATACTGTAACGAGAGCCCCGCTCATTGGAAGATTACTGCATATAGCTGTGGGTATTCGGGATAAAACTGGAGAATCCGGAGAAAAGTTGACCGAGTTTGACGGATCTAGCTTGCCGAAGACGCAAGTTGGACGTAATCCTTAATGTTTGCGCACCGGTCGTGAAGTAAAGAACCCTACCCTTTGACCTGAGAAGCAAAGGTTGTTAACAATTGGCTGCATGATTTTGTCATGAGTGTCGACCATCCATCACAAACCAAATTGAGAAAATGTAAGTGGAAGTCAACCATCACACTTTTGTAGCCATGTGTGAATAGTGGATTTTGAGTTCAAAGTGAATTCAAAGCAAATAGTGGTTTTGGTCAAATGTTTCCTGCAAAAATATGAAATAGTTTCATTGAGCCTTTTACTAATGTTTTAACGAAAACCCAGCTGAACTCGCGGAGCTTATTCCTAAGCTTCCACTCGTCCATTTATGAGATAACTTATATATTTATTTATGAACTTTGACACCAAAAAGTGTGATGCGTTGGGATTGAAAGTAAACAACAGATTTGACATAAAATTATAGCTATAAAGATGCCCAGCCAAACCTAAACGAGTTGGTTTACATATCTCACTGTATGCAAATAATCTTCCCCCATCTCAAATTTGAAAAAAAATAAAAAAAAGAAGAAAGGATTATAAATGATACAAGCAGGTAATTGTCAGGGCATCTCTGGCTAATGTATATTTTTGCATAACAGCTGCAGTTTAATTTTGAAAATATTACTGCAATGTAGGTGCAGTCATCTCTCATTGATAAAGACTCCAAAAATATGGATACCCCACTAATATAGTAGATAAAACTTTTGGGGACGAATAGGCCAAATACATGCATTTTTGTCTTGTTATTATGGACAACTCGCGCTATGAACGCTTTTTTGGGGCGAACATAGGTGCACTTATTAACGAGACATCACTGTATTAACATTCACAAGGTTTCCGTTTCTTTCTGAGTACAACGGGCGTGTGGGTGCACCATCCCTCTTTGAAGACGTGCTTTTCCCCAAGCACGCAGTCGCGATATTCATACTTTTCCGGGTGTTGATTGGTGCAGGCCACTCCGTTAAATGGGCACTGCCACCCCAAAAGTTGTTTTTCTTTTTTTGTTGTCTAAAAGAATGCAAATTGTACTCGTAGACAAACAAAACCAACCCCCCCCCCCCCCCCCCCCCCAAAAAAAAGAAATTCCCACGTGCACGCATGTTTTTGTTGTTTTTCTTTGCCTCTTCTCGGTTCCTCGCTTCTTTTTATTTCTGGCGTCAAAAATATCAAATTTAGAAGCTTTGTAAGTGACATTTCTATAATATTTACTAACAGCATTCGTAAAACACGTCTTTTTAACGCAGTTGCAAACACGCTTCGGCCCTTCTTTTTGAAATAGCGAAAATCAGAGTCCAGTGTGATGTCGCCTTTTGGCTTTTTACCCTCCCTCGAAAAACATGGTGGTGCTGGCGGCGCTCATCACATGTATAGCACTGAGGATGATCGGTGAGTCGGCGAATCAGACAAAGTTTTCTTTTTTAGGTGCCCGACGATCTCTCAGACTTCAAAAAGGAAATCGCCAAACGGACAAAACTACTGGGTTTGGTGTCTGCGTATTGTAGTTTTCATTGTGACACCGCCGGGGCAGCCTTTCACGCAGAACCGGCGAGACTTTCGTCACCCCCAATAGTCCACAGCACATTGTCTTTAGACTCAAACCATTTCAAAGAATTGGGGATCGCTAAAGGACCCTAAAAGAACTTCAAATTCGGGAATGAGCGTCGTTAGCTCACAGTGATAGGCGACAGGCACGGAGAAGAGCAGTTGATTGCATGACACGGGCGAACACGGCACTTCGGTTCGGGACAGTTCGGAGGCGTGAGAGTAACTCGAGTTGCAGGACGACTCAATCTTTGACGTCACTACACTGGCACGGATCCTGCGGGAACTTCAAGTTCGACTTTGGGAAGTTGTTTTTACAGCGGAGCTGTTAAGGGCTAGTTTCCCCAGTATCGTGTTCAACAGCAAAGAAATTATGACACAAAACTCTGGACGGCTACCGCCATCTATGAGCGACAGCGGCTACATTTCGAGCCTTTCCACTCTGGCTTGCCGACTTGCGGCCGGCCATTACTTCATTCCCCCCATAGTACAGCTTCGCTGGTCTTCCTTCTTCACCAGAGTGGAAAGGCTGAAAGTATTTTTACTTCTCAAATACTCAGTTCCCAAGTTTTGACTTTATAGGGTAACGTCCAGGCATCGTTTTCAGTCATTTGGGATAATAATAAAAAAAAAAATATGATTTTGAATTGTCGGTGTTCTTTTAAGGTGTGCTTCTTATTGAGCCCTGGTGCACTGCTGAGAAGCGACACCTCCGCGAGTGTTACGTCTTTGCAGAGCACCGGCGCTTGGTAAGAAGTGCACTCAACGAGGTTAATCTGCTGCAATCAAAACTTCGAAAAGTTTGAATATGGAAGCTCATTTCGAAGCGAATATCAAATAGTCAACTATTCAGAACCACTATTCGAAATTTCGAATATTCACAGAACACTACACTCTTTTTGAAAGTACCAGAAAAATATACTTAAAAGTAGGAACACATTCCCCCAGGTTCTGCTTAGGGTGAAGTTTCAAGTACTCAAAGCATGTAGTTAAAGTACCGGTTCTGGTATGTCTCAAGTACTCGTAAATGATTACTTCATGTACACTTATGTTTCTAAAAAGTGAGTTTCCCCAACACTGCTATGCTTGCAATACTTGTCACTGCCACCGCATCATCATTGCATGAGCTCAACAGAATGCATATGCTCCTTGTGCTTTGCAGAGAAGCCAGCTTGAGGTGCTGGGAAGCATGGAGGCACTCCTGGCCTCAGTACAAGACCCCATGGACCTCTCCGTCAAGGAACTGCTCGCCTCCTGCCTTGGGGTGCAGGCCGCCTCTCAGGATGACTGCATCTCAGACAAGGTGCATAATAAGATCTTTCGACGTTAGACCATCTATTTTAATATCCCTTACATTCACTCCTTTGGGCTTTCTTGTACCATCTGCTTGATGTTGCACATTGTCCATTTACTTTAAACTCAACTCTATAGTTGTGTACCATCAAAGAGACTGCTGTTTATGGGCCCATCTGAAGAAACAATTCATTATGATAGTTATCACAAAATTTAGAAGTGCTTCGATTTGTTGACAACCTACGTGCTTCCTGTTCTTAATTCATTAACTGTTAATTTTACCTATTAACCAATGTTATTGGTTCTAAGCTCTAGTATGCTGGCTTCATGATGCAAAAAAGAAAAATTCAGTCATATGATCAGCACTGCCCCAGTGACCTTAAGTCTTGGCCAGCTTCTCCAAGCGTTAAGGCCCGTTCACACTCTTGCGACCGAGTACGACTGAGAGAGACGCGATCTCTTACAACTTCTTAAATGTTTCTAGAATGAGGGAACACACTGACATTGTGGCGCCATCTATGCGGTGACCCTAGAACTGCATTTCACAAAAGCGAAGGTTTTGCGGGATTTCCGAGGTCAAATGTGCGTAATACCCATAGAAAGGCTCGTTTATAACATTGACAAAAGCTTTTCGAGTCAAAAAAGAAAGGATATTGCGCGAGAAATAAAAAAAAATATGCCGGACCGCCGAGTTTACACTGCTTCCCAATAGATGGCGCCAGTGTGTTCTCTGGTTTAAGAAGTTTTAAGGAACCCAGGTTTAAGAGGTCGCAAGCAGTCGCAAGAGTGTGAACGGGCCTTTAGGCTTTTGTTTAGCTATTATTATATGCCTCTAATGGGGTAATAGTCCTACTTGATGGTTTGCTTTTTAACAGGCATATTTATGAATTTGGTTCAGTGACTTTGTCTAACAGCGAAGTAATGCTTTTCCAGTGGTTTTGCACTTTGACTGGCTTGCACTTTTGTTTCGTCTGCTCTTGCGATGGATCACCTGAATTTTCCTTGTCCCTCATCTTTGCGTGCGCCCACACACAGGTTGGGATGCTGCTACGCCAGCTGTCCGGAATGCTGAGCCTTCCCAGCGTAGAGGACATGTCCGTTGTCTACGGCAAGGACATGATCCAGGACCTGTCCGAAAACCGACCGCACACCAAGACAGCACATTGGGACGCCCTCAGGGAACTTGTCACTCATGCAGGTGGGTGCCGTCCTAGTGTCGTGGAGGCAAAATAGACAGCTGCGCTGGGTGCTGTTCACCAGTAGCTATAGAAGAAAACTAGTCAGCTCAAAGGAATCTGTGCAACCAGACCTATGCTGGTACAGTAGACAGCTAGTACATTGATGTTGTAGTCCAGAGAAGCAGCTTCGGGGTGCTGCACACTCAGCACTTGTGGAGGTAACCTTTAGTCAGCTTGTAGGACGTCATGCAACCGGATCTCTGCTGGTACGGTAGACAGCTACATTGATGTTGCTGCAGGTAGTAGGCAGCTACATTGATATTGCAGGCTGAATAGACAGCTGCAGGGATGCTACACATCCAAAACCTATGAAAGAAGACTTTGCTGGAACAGTAGACAGCTGCACTGACGTTGCTTACTGGAACTTGTGTTGTGGACTGTTTCATGGCAACTCGATGATACATAAACCTTATTTAGTGATTCCAGGTTATACGGGTGGACTTGGCGGCTGTGATATTAGTGTCCGCTTGGGTCTGTGCAGGCAGAAGAGACAGCTGCGATGATACTGGCCACTGAAACCTATGCAGGTCAAGGTCCTTTTCCTATGTTTGTCGGCCTGTCCCCTCTAAGCTGATGAATCTGCTTCGGGGTTTCATTGCACGTTACCAAACGAGGTTTAAAAGTATGTGCATAGCACGTGTAGGTCATTTTACTCCTTACGGTATATTATAAGCTCTCCTCTATTTGGTTAAAAAAATGCAGTTAGAATCTTCTACGTTTTCTGCTGATCATCTGACCAATCCTGATTGACCATGATTTGCTAACCGGTGACAGTGATTAGCCCATTGTGCTGAACCAACTAAGTTACAGATTGTAATCACCCATGTGGCGCATTGTGATTTACCAAGTGACACTTTCTGACCTACTGGCTGATTGTGATTGAGCAAACACAATTTCCGAACTGACCAACAGTGATTGACCAACTGACTGATTGTAATAACCTACAATGTGACCAATAGAACTTGCCCACGTGACACACTGTGATTGCTCCAGTGATGCTGTGTGACCCCCGACTGATCGTGATGGACCAACTGACCAATCACGATTCCCCAACTGACCCATAACGATTGACCAACCGACTTATCGTGATAACCAACCGAGCGACCAATCACGAGCACCCTCACGTTTAATCACGATCGGCCAATCGTGTGCAGGTACCCAGAGCGGAGACCTGGTCCCCTCGCTGGTGGCCCTGCTCAATGGGGTCCAGCGCCGGCCCGAGTGGCAGCCCCAGGCGGCATCTGTACTGCAGCAGGCGCTCTGCCACGGGCGTGGTTTGTCGCCCCAGTGCGCCCACGCCGCCCTCAGGGCGCTCCTGCCCCTGCTCACTGCCCAGGGGAGGCCCTGCCTGCCCGCACGCAGCGCGGCGCTCCGCTGCCTGCTCCAGCTCCTTGAGGCCCTGCCCTCCCTGCAGGTGCGCTGCTCCGCATCGCATTGCGGACTCCTCGGACTGCGTCTCTCTCGTCAGGGCTTTCGAAGCACTCTTTCCGGTTTTGGCATACCGTATTTTCCGGTCTACAAGCCACATTCCTCTAAAAGGCAGTGTTCATGAAAAAGTTGATTTATGTGTCGCACCTTGGCATAAGTCGCACATAGTTGGGGAGTGCTGCGAATGATGGTGTATGGAGTCGGTGCGGCCGCAGACTTCTGCTGCCACTCTTTCAACCACCTTTAAACGCCGTAAGAGCAGGCCTTTGACAGGTGCTCTGCCGTTCCTCCATTGTCGCAAATGTTGATGCGACCTACATTTCAAATTCATGCTTACAAAAAAAGAAAAAAAAAAAAAAGAAGACAAGTTGCATTATAATACTGGGTATTTCAGAGAAGACTCTAAAAAATTGCTATGAACAGTCTGGTTGAGAAAAAAGAAATGTTTTCTGCTAATTAGTAGTATAATTGGCTAAATCGTTAACTACTTCTAATCAACATTTTAATTAGTGAAAATAAGCATATGATTCAAATAGACCCTTTTTAAAGGTCCATCGAGCAGCAGTGATGGTCGCCGTCTCTTGGGTATGAAGCGCGCGATTAGATTGGAGTCCTCCCCGATTGCCGACTCATCGCTTGTTTTAAATTCGAGCAGAGCCGATTAAATGCTGAGCGCCAATGCAGCCCTCATATCTAATACAGGCTCGGATTGCATGATCAAGCAATGGCGGACAGGCAGAGGCACGGACGTTTGGAAAGAGTCCGTTAGAAACTTTCTGAACATCATCAAAAACCACTAAATTGACTCATTTTAGAAAAATATTAAACAAATCCAACATTTTACAATGTTAAAAAAAAAGATTGTTGAGCCCTTCCATTTTATGTGAAGCTGGAGGACCAGCGAAGCGTTTTTTTTTTGCGACGTCTAGGACGATGTCTAGATGACGACGTCTAGGACGATCTCAAGGACGACTTCTAAAATGACCTCGAGGACGACCTCAAGGACAACCTCGAGGACGACGTCTAGGATGACCTAAAGGACGACCTTGAGGACGACGCCTAGGACGACCTCAAGGACAACCTCAAGGACGTCTTCTAGGACGACCTCGGGGACGATGCCTAGAGAAGATAACAATTGGCATCAGGACCTCACTATCTAACAGTGGCAAAGAAGGCTAACTCACGCTGGTTGCCTCCTCCTTTATTTTTATTTATTCATACTTGCCACAACCAACGGGGAGTTTTCTGTCAACATCCGCGGATGCATTTGTTCCCAGGCCCTAGCACATAACAGCTTCGTTGTAAAAATTTGAAGACACTTTTTGGGGTTTTGGTTTTGTATCGGCGCACATCTTTGCACCAGCTGCCCTGTTCCACATGGCCGAGGTGCAATGACAAAAGCATTCCGGTAACCATCTGGCCGGTCGTTTCTTGCCCCTCTTTTTGGCAGGCCAGCGCCGAGGTGGTGGGTGCCGTCCTCTCGCTCCTGGAAGACGCCCAGCCGCAGGTGCGCGCCTTGGCATGCCGGGCTGCGGCGGCTTGCGCGCCCGAGCCTGTGGCGAGCCGGGCGCTCGTCGGCCGCCTGGACGACGTGTCAACGGAGGTGCGCGTGGCGGCCGCGAGGGCGCTCGAGGTCCTGGCCATGGAAGGACTCCAGGAGGTGGTGGATGCCCTCGAGCTGCACTCTGCGGATGCCAGTCCGGCCGTGCGCAACGCCTGTTCGGGTGGGTCTCCGTCGGACGGTTCCACGGTTTCGATCCAGTATGTGTTCTAACAAAGGCGGAGTTCGGATCCGTTCGGCCATCGCCGCGTTATCGGTTAAATTTCTTGTGCTAATGCCCGCTAAATCAGGCAAGGCACCGCTATGGGTTACGTGGTCATGTCATGTGACCACGTAACCCATAGCTCGCTTAATTTAGCAGGCACGACCTCGCACACATGACGCCTGGTCATGTTGTGGCATCGCCCGACGTCGTAGTGTCATGGTGTTAAGGTTAGTAGGTCTGTACTTGTGGACAACTTCTCGTGGCATTTCAAAAGCGAAGAGTGCTTGTGCGGAACTTTCGTCGGTGCTCGAGTCGCTCGTGCACACATAGGTTCGAATGTATGGTCACAGAGAGCTGTCTGCGGGTATAGAGTAATGTTGGCTATCAATTTAGTGTGTCACAATGTTATTAGATTTTGTAGAATTGGGCATCAAATTGTCGCATAATGCTTCCCAGATCTGCATATCATCTGCATACGGGACGTTTGGGTGGGTAGGTCGAGGAAGCACGTTTGTTTTTTTGGTCACGGCTCTTCCATTATAAATTCTACGTAAAGCGACACTGCTAAAAAAATAACCGATCGCTGTTTGTTTTTTCTTTCAGGTTCTTTTGTTTCAATTGAAAGGCTGTCATCAAGACTACCACCGTAAAATCCCGAGCAAGCGCCCACTCGAAATTCGGATATAATTATGTGAAACTGGGGCATGGGCGCTCCTTATTAAGTTAACAATATGTAAAGATATACCCCTTGTGTATTTTCCAAATGTTACAAAATTGAGGGACGCGCGCTCGTTGTGGAGTGGATGGGTGCTCGGTATTTTACGGTAGTGCGGCGGAAAGTACTCATCAGGAGCGATAACTTGCTGCTCAAATGTAATGGTGCAGGAGTCTCTCAACTCTCATTTCGGGCAGATATGCATTTCAAGGGAACAAGAGGTTTGGGAACGCTCAATCTAAATCATTGTTCAATTGTTACATATTTCTTATTTTATTTTACGTGCCCAATAACAACCACACGGGTCTAAGAAGCGTTTACCTGCTCCTTCCTGAATGAGAAACCTGGACGGCGGAAATCGGTGCTTGTCAATCTCCCGTCAGAGCAAACTGCGAGTTAGCGTATTATCCTGCGAGAGAGCCCACCTGTAATCAAGAGCGAATCGGGTGAAAATTAGGGCTGGGGCAACTTTCGGTGTGCAATCAGGAAAAGTTGGAACAAGTGCCATTTTAGGTTGTGTCCTTGCCAAACTTCTTATTGTGGAGGGAGGCAATGAAGCAAAGATGACCGTACTTCTCAGTCAGCAATGTTAGCTTATATTCCACCATTGCTAATTAGCCGCGTTTACACCAAGGCCACCATTGATACAAATACTTCGATCACCAGGAGTGGGCTATCTTTTGGAGTTTAAGAAAAAATAGCAAATCAAACCAAAAATAGAAGGCAGGTTATCTTTTGGGGGTGGGGCATCTCCTGGGATGTTACGTTAGTACCGAATTCTATTTGCACAAACTGTCACAGTGTGTAGTCTTAAAGATTGCCCTTTAAAGGGAAGCTCCGGCGTCAATGTGGAGCGTAAGTTCGTCTGCTTCTTGCACGGGGGTTGCGATGATGTCAGAACGCAGAGCTCTTAATGGCTGATTGAAAAAATAGTGGGCAGACCTTAAGGCATATAGCATTTAGGTCTAGCCACTATCCTTGCAGTCAAAGCCAACCGAAGCTCGGCGTCGTTGTGACAACACAGCAACCGCCAAGCAAGAAGCAGACGACTTGCTGTCCGCATTTGGACATTTTCGCCTAAACATATTTTCTGAAAGAGCACAAGTAACCGAGCCTAACACAGCAAATAAATTGTTCCCCAAAGTTTTTAAATCATTTTTAATCTTACAAATACAATACACCCGAAACCGAAACTAACCTGCAAATTTACTGGTCTGCCATCTCGTTGTGACAACAGATGTACAAACATCGGCATGTAGAGAGCTCGAGCCCGTTTCTCCCAGCGTCGGAAGAGGTCCAAACGGTGCCGCAATCGTCCGTGGGAAATAATGGACCACAATTTGTCAAGCTCGTCTTAGTCAAGCAACGACCAGCTAACGTTTTAGGACTTCAGCACGAGATTTCGGACGCGGCCCATTCGATCCGCCGTCGTTGCCTTCGGGGTTTAACCCGTGGGGGCTGCGTTTGCGATCCGCCGACACGTGGACCCAGATGCCGCTTTGAAGCAGGATGGCACGGAAGGTTTTATTTGCTAGCAAGCTGCACACTCTTTTTTAGCATGACACGAAGGCTAGGAGCCAGTGTTCGTGTCCGACTGCTTGGACCCACTTCTGTCGCAGAGAACTCTCGGTCGGAAACCAATGACATGTCACTTTGCTGCATTTTTTTGTGGTGTTATTGCACCCCACAGCCCATCACCAAAAGCCAGATGCAATTGACAAAACCACAACTATCACACTATAGCAGACGATGCTCACTAGCAGACGCTCATAGTCACTAGCAGACGACGCTCCCTACTCGACGCAAGACGTCGTCTGTTCTTGGATACAATGTTTGACATCAGGACGTCAGGAATGCCCCCGCTCGTTGTTGCCAGTAGAGTGGCACCAACGAGATGTACTCGTCATTTTTAGAATTAGTTTTCTCGTAAGAAAATGATTATTTTGACGAGATATTTGGTGGACATACTCAAAGGTAAATATTTAGCGCATGGTCAGCATTTTTATAAAAACCAATGACCATCAATATTTCACCGGAGCTCCCCTTTAAATACGCAGCAGGATATGTCTACAAACTTCATAAACCCTTCTGTGGTAAAGACAGTTTTTTTCTGCAATTTTTGCAGTAGTATAACTAGTTGTATAATAGCAATACCTCAACTCCCTGCACAGGTTTTACAAACTTGGTGGTTAACTTTTGAGGCTGTCACCGGCATTTGAAGTGCAATGAACTAGTACTTGGACAAGCTTCAAGCTTTATACATATCGTTGTTTTGCCGGGGAGTTTCACTGAAGTTTGTTGAACTGAATAGCTTGCTCAGCTGGAGTTTGTTTGAGTGGTATTTCACTGTGCTGCTAGTGTTGGAAAAACACTGACTTACCTAATGGAGATGGCACGGACAGCAATATTTCATTTGTGTGTAAACTGACTTTTTCGTGGAGAATGTCTTGCTTGTAAGCAATTGCTTGTTAATAAAAATGCTGCCAAAAATATCCAGGTTTGGTGACTTTTCTTTTTCTCCTTATTTTTCAGAGGTCCTGGGAAAACTGTCGGGTAGCGACTCCCAGCTGGAATTAGACGAGGCACACGATACTTGCGTGTAGATTACACCCACTTCACCCATCAATAAAGACACAGTTCAAACCAGGATCGCTTTGTGCATTCATTATGGATGGCGGTGTTATAAAACACATAATATTACATAATTGCAGTGACAGTTTGCTGAGCATTGCGGTTATATCCAAGCAGGCATCTTTGGTGCTGGAGCAATGACAGCAAATAAAGTGCCAGTTTTTTTGTTTTTTTTTGTCAGAACATTAAAAGCACCTTTTGTTATCAAAGCACTATTGGCAGCATTGTCCTGAAAGAAATGTTAAAGCATTATTTCCAACACAATCTATGGACTAAGGTGTTCTGATGATGATACCTCACAGAGATGATGCTTTACAAAGATATTAGTACCTCAGCACGACAGTACTTTACGATGCGTACTTGGCTTCATCTTGCCGTCGTTGGAGTTTGATACTGTCCCAAAGCCAATTCAAATTGACCCTTTTAGCTTTCAATTTAACACGGTCTCCTTTCAAGACGTGCGTCACAGAGTCTTTGTCGCTTTTAGCGAGGTGGCCGTCGTATGCAACAAAGTACCTCCTGAGCAGACGGTCTTCCGGAAGAAACATGGTCACTCCCGTAAAGACGTCCGGAAAATCGCACAGCTTCTTCTTCTTGGGAGATGAAGCAACGGGTGATTGCTTCTTTGTACCACTGTCCTCTACTTGAGGTGACCTGTGTGGTGACTTCTTTGTACTGCTGTCCTCTCCTTGTGGGGACCTGTTGGCAGCATCCGTCTTCTTACCCGCTTCGAAAGGATTTTCTTTGGACACCTTGAAGAGCTTCCGCAGCTCGGGAAGACTGGTTGCCTCCTTAGGCGTCTTGTCGTACCTGATCCGTGTTACCCTTGGAAACCGGATAGAGATTCCGTCGGCTGTGTGGATCTCTGCCCTGGTGAACTCTGCCCCCGAGATCTCCCAGACTTGGGTGTTGTTGGGGTCCTTGGCCACAAAATCCGGAACAAGAGGCTTCTGAACGTCTAGCCAATGTGGAACGCGGTCTGCCTGCTTTGAGATCTTGGTCATCTCCAGCTCCGTCTGCAAACGCTCCAGGGTTGCGTCGTCATGGCCACCATGGACCTTGGTGACCGTGCACCAACGTCCCGTAGCTGGATTCCAGCATCCCATGAGGAAAATGGACATAATGCCCCCCTTGTTGCCCGTCCCGAAGTAAGCTCCAAGAACAGCCAAATCTGCTGAGTCAGCCATGCTCCCTCCCTCCAAGTAGTCCTTCTTGACCTTCATCCAGTGTCTCTTGCCAGGTTCATAGACACCATCCGGGTCTTTGAGGACGAGGCCTTCGAGACCCTGGTTAAGGACATCTGCTATGAGTTCTTGTAGCTGGTCACGCGTCTTGATGACGTGCTTCTCGCTGAACATGACGTGGTTCTTGATGGGAGTCATGTTGGCCTGCAAGACTTCCCTGCGTTGTCGCAGCGGCGTGTCAAGGAGGCTGCGGCCGTTGTAGTGGAGACAGTCGAAGACAAAGAGGCAGACAGACGCGTCCTTGAACGCCGCGCGCTTGTGGATGCCGAGAGTGCCAAACGGCAATGGCTTCCCGGCCTGCGTGTCGACCATCAGGATTTCGCTGTCCAATACAAGGTCTTTGCCATGCGGAAATGCCTTGGGGATGAAGTCTTTCAGGTGCTGTACCTTGTGGGGAGACACTGGCTTCAAGCTTCTGCTGAAGAAGAGGAAATTGGATCCCTGCTTGTGAAGCTGAACCCTCTCTCCATCATACTTGATCTCGGCGTACATCCCGTCGGGACACCTAGCAAAGGCGGCATCCGGAGATCCACATGGCTCAGCCAGCATCGGAATCATTGGAGTCATGAGACTTGCAGACACGCTGACATTCCCTTCTTTTGCAGTCCGCACGACGTCTTCAAGGTTCCGAGATGCCTGAAACGACTGATAGGCGTTGGGATGGAGCGCTTCGAGAATGTGCTTGGGTCCCGAGTTGATCCTGATGTCGTGCTTGATGAGTCGAACGACCATCTTGAGGTCGTTGCTCGTGCAGCGGACACTGAGGTGCCTCAAAAGTTGTTCCTGGTCGTCTTCCCTGGTAAGCTTGGACAGCCGGTCTAAGTAGTGGTCCACGTCTTGCAGGGTCAGCTTGCTCTTGGAAGCAGGCGAACCATATTTTTCGAAGAAGATTCGCACCGTTTCCGCAACGTCCCCCTGTTCGAGGTCTTCGACCATCTCTTCTAGGCAGCCATTGCCGAAGATCCGACTGAAGAGTTTGACCAGCTGCTTGCTCTGGAGGTTGTAGACGCGCTTGTTGACCATTGGCAGCAGGAACTTGGTCCAGAGGTACAGGTCTCCGGTGAAACCCTTGCCCGTTGAGCCCTCCTTGAAGAACTTGGCCACTATGGCTGTCTTGCCCGTGTAGGTCGACTCTTCCGAAATGGCGGCACAGAGGCGACGAAACTCCTTGAACGAATCGTCTTTGGAAGTGCTCTTGGACGGTACGTCGTCGAGATCGGCTACGTTGAAGTCGCTCTGTGTCGTAGCGGTTGATCCAGGCGACGTTTTCGGGGATGCAAGTTCGAGCTTCTGCTTCTTGGACGGGGATCCTTTCGGGGATGCCAATTTTCGTTTGTTGGGCGTCGCGCCTGAAGCGCCGGCTTTGCTGGTAAGTTCATCGATGTGTTTGAGGACCACCTTACGGTCGTCGGGCCGAACGTCTGCCCAGCCTTCCAAGTCTTCGGCTTCTTCGATCTTTTTGGTGGTCGCCCGCGCCCGCGAGAGTTGCTCGAAGATGCAGTCGACGTGAAACCACTGCTTCATGTCGCCTCCGCTGTCCGAAAACGGGTTGGGTACGATCTTGGCGATCCGCAGCACTTCCTTGTCGATCTTTGCCTTGCATTTCTTGCAGCCGGCTGTGCCGCGTTTGGCGTACTCTATGCAAAATCGGGTGTCTGCCATCCTTTTCGAACTAAATCGTAAAACATAACAAACACGCTCAGCAGCAGCTCGTCAACCGCGTCAACAGAGACACAGATACACACACATGCGTCGACTGCATTCTCGAGAATCCCCAAAAACTGGATTGGATTGGATATTTGAAATTTAAAATTGCAGACATTTGTCTGTACAAAAGTTTAGTATAGCAATAAAATCGATTAAATACACCAAATAAATTATTGAATATTCAGGCAATAATTGTAAACGATAAATTATTAACGTTTTGAAACGAATAGCAAACAATATCAAACATAAATGCGACGGTTGCGTCACCACGCTTCTTTCAACTCAACTAAATTGTCATCTGCTGGTGAAGAGCGTGGCTTTTTCTCGCGGGGGGTGGTAAGTGTCTTATTTTATACTACTATAATTTAATATAAAATATACAAGTTGTGTCTTTGTCTTCGTCGAATATCTGCAGACTCTTCGGGTTGCATACGTGGTTTAATTAGTGCTTATCCAGCACGACCACGCAGCAGTTCTGTATCGGAGTTCAAGTACTCGGTCCGTGCTTCGGGGTGAGCTTTAGTTTGTGCAGAAGCAGAAGGATAAACATTTTCCAAAAAAATGGTAAGATTGATGAACTAACGTTGAAGTTGTTGTTGTTGCGTTGTTATGCAATCCCTGTAAAATACGTGTCCGAAATCATGTTCAGGTGAAATCGTAAACGGATTCACAGTATCACCTAGCTCTTCGGCACTCGTGCACCAAAACCCGTTGCTGCGCAATTTTTGAGCTTTATTCTGGTTCGCGTAATTTACGTAATTTTCGTTGTTACAGGGCCAGATGGACGATTTCCGATGGCTGTGGAAGTCTGGCCCGGGCTTCAACATTTCGGGGGACAATGTGACCGTTTTGCACGAACCCAGCGAATTTTATCAACATCTCAAGGTACAGTCCTGTTCAGGGACGGCGCCAAAGGGAGGCGAGGGGTGGCTGGCGCCTCCCCTAAAATTTGTCCTGCCACCCCAAAAACATGCCAGCCTTTACTTCCCCCCCCCCCCCCCCCCCCACCCTAATTTTCGCGCGCAGACCCGTATACGCTACATGGCTTGTCATTTTCCTAATTTCCTCGTCCCATGAAAAAGGCATTGGCTTGTAGGATAGCCAGCCTAAAGAGGCCTCATACCGGACGTTTTCAACTTTTTCGTGCCATCCGCTTTATTTTCTTTACGTACCCCGTGAAGAACGATGCATGAATATCGGTACGGCTTGCCGAAGCTAAGAAGCGTCGTCTACCACTCAATTCCTCTGTCGCCACCCATAAAAGACTTCCTGAAAGTAGCTTCACCCAAGTGATTACTCGGAGAGACTTGGAATCCCATCCGCACTGTGCCGTCGCTTCGTACCTGCCAGACAAAGGAACTCAAGGGCACTGTTCATGTTCTGACCGAGGAAATCTCCCAAAGTCCTGAGGCGCTTGGGCCGACTGGCGAGTTCCCAAGGGGAGGCTTTGACGTGTCTAGGTCATCCTAGGGTGCCTTCAAGCGCACATGAAGGCATGAAGGCTCCCTAAGTCATCCTGCTTATTTCGAATCTCTACGGGGTCCTTGAAGCAACTTTGTTGACGGCGACTGTGTGTGCTCGGGAAAGGGTATAGGTCGGAGCCTGGCGGTTCGAGAACTGCCATGCTCCCATCATTAGTGACCCTGGGGCACGAAGTCCCTTCGAGGGACTATCCCAGGAAGTTGGAGGTAAGCTGAAAGTGTTTGTGTATTTGGGGGGGGGGGGGGGGGGGGGGGGGGGGGGGTGGAGAAAACAGTGGAAGTGTTGTATTTTGACAGAGGGCTGTCGAAACTAGAAGAAAGTTGTTTAAAAGGAAGGCGGTCTACGACGCCACTAAAACAGTGCGGCACGCAGGGCGTCCCAAACATCATCGGCTTCCTTCAAGCAGATGAAGAACAGTGGCACGGCTAAAGGCCCGTTCACACTCTTGCGACTGCTTGCGACCTCTTAAACCTGGGTTCCTTAAAACTTGTTAAACCAAAAAAAACACTGGCGCCATCTATTGGGAAGCAGTGTAAACTCGGCGGTCCGGCATATTTTTTTTTTATTTCTCGAGCATTATCCTTTCTTTCTTGGCTCGAAAAACTTTTGACAATGTTATAAACGAGCCTTTCTATGGGTATTACGCACATTTGACCTCGAAAATCCCGCAAAACCTTCGCTCTTGTGAAATGCAGTTCCAGGGTCACCGCATAGATGGCGCCACAATGTCAGTGAATTCCCTCATTCTAAAAACATTTATGAAGTTGTAAGAGATCTCGTCTCTCTCAGTCGTACTCGGTCGCAAGAGTGTGAACGGGCCTTAAATCAGTCGCCGTGTACCTCTGCCAGGCGTATTCAGCAGAGAAGGGAGTATCGTCATTACATCTACATGATCGCTGACGTGCTCCGGTTTTCCGCGGTGCAGGGGACTGCCTAAAGAGCAGATAATGAGTCACGACAAGCGTGAGCGTGCTTATTTAGTATTGCGAAATGTAAACATGCCTGAATAATTTGCACGTGAAATTCTACATTAACCAGCGTTGTACATAGGTTGTAAAATAATTAAATAAACTGAGCTGATTTCTATTAAAAACTCCCGAAGCGCAAAGTCATCGTCCCTGAATATTTGTTCTTTTAGTCGGATCGAAGGCCCATGCCTCCCCAAAAATGCCGTGCGCCTCCCCACTGCCCCCTCACTATGAAAAGCCTGGCGCCGTCCCTGGTCCTGTTGCCAAAGTAAAATGGGAAGAAAATACATTGCTGGGATACTTATTTTGTTGCGACAGATACTTGTTGTAACGCACGTTTCTCGATCCTGCACTTTTGTAATAAAAATTGTTCGAAAGGAAAAAAAAAACAACTTTTTTAATACAGTAATTTTATTTTACGCGAAACTAAAGAGAAAGCTTATGTGCTGAAGCAAGTTATTTTGACAATATGCAGAACACCAACCACACGAGTGTACTTTCTTGCAGAACACGAAGGTAGCCAATCATGGCGAACGATAGAAGGACCCCAGCGAATTACAAATCTCAAAACACAACAAGATAAAAAAAAATAAAAATAAATGTGATGTGCACAGGGACACTGGTTATAACGTTTCCTTTGATCGAGTTGTCCTTACGCACATCACACTTTTCAAATATACTCGTATTTCTAGCTTCATACTCCGCTGGGACCATTCTGTCGTTAGCCATGATTAGCTGCAGCCAATCACGGCAATCAGAACATGTTCTGCAGAAAAAGTGAGCCCATACACTTTTTTTTAAAACGCCCTTTCTTTCTTTCTTTTTTTTTGTTAACGAAAAATAGCAATTATTTATTAGGAAACTAATATTATTATTTTAACTCCCTTTGAAATTGTGAGAACATGCACCATGTTTACGTAGTTACGTTTTAGATAAAATTAATGATCCTCTACTGTGATTATGCAATGTTTACAGTGAGTGTGTATTCCTCAGGACCTTTCCGATGCTGCCCACAAGCGTATTGTGCTTGCTTCGCTTTACTTGGGTGATGGCGAACTTGAAAAAAATTTGGTGAGTGCATAGAAGTTCAGTAACATTCTAGATGAAACAACTTCTTAGTTGGGAAACTTTTCGGCTGGTTTTCAAAATGAACTGAATCTCACTCTAGAGTAAAGGTCTAGTCATATTAAAATCTACCGTTAGCGTCCCTCTCTCTGCGTTGATTCACTGCAGTGATTGATCGGTTGATTTGAATGTGTCCAAGAACTAGCAGAGCAATTGCATTGGTGCACACATCCTGGTTAGTCAGCAGCGGGAGGGCCATTTAAACTACTAAATTGATAGAAGTCATGTATGAAGTAACATATAATTATATATGTGATGCCTACGAGACGTAGGATCCATTAAAAAAAATTATGATTCTCATGGAAAGCATTGTTTGATCACCGCAACTGACAAGGAACTCGTAATGTAAAAAAATGTCATATCAGATGTCACCATTTGCATCCGATTCCCCAGACATTTCAGAGATTTCTATAAACAATTCAAGGAAAGGAGAGAGAAGTCTCCCTTATCTCCCAAACATTTCCAATAGTCCTGGATGCCACATAAACATTTATAAAAACAAGATATAACGGTCCTGCTGATAAAAAAGGAATTCGTCGAAGTGACTTCGATTTATCCGGTCCCCCCAAAATTATCCCTAATGTAAGTCATCCCTGTTCACGAAACAAAACAATGATGCCGAAATCGCGGCTGTGGCTACGCTGATTCTCGAATAAATACGTTGGCACTTAGCGCCAAGGTTCTGACTCGGCAGAGAGCCAATCCCTTTAGGGCGTCGGCGGTTTTGCGCAAACGGTGTCGTCGCTGCGCCTTGGTTTTACGTTGTCACTTACAATATACACACTGGGGAAACGAAAACATGCACCTATGCCCCGGTGCCGTCGTAAGAGGAGTGCACATCAACAACTGCACGTGATTGAAAGCTTGCGAGAAGACACTTTCCCTTTTACGTAAGAGGAAAAGCGGCCGTAGCGAGCAAACGAACAGTGCAAAAGATCATGGCAAGAACCCCACCGTGGCTTGATGAAACCAGTCCAATCCATTTAGTCCAAACCAAACACGGCTGAACGCACCAGAGGAAGAAATGCACATGCATTTAAAATGCATTTATTTACACAAATCACATCCCCTTAAAATATTGCCTCTATAACGGGTTATATTAAACGGGACTTGACTGTATGGTCAGTATGACCAGAAACTGTCCTAAGGGTGACGTGACCATCCGGGGGACTTCCAGGTGTCCCACATCCATGCCGCCGCTCGCCGCGACGTGCAAGTCCGCATCCTGCTGGACTACACCCGGGGCTCCCGCGGGGAGTCCAACTCGCGGACCATGCTCACCCCCATGCTCCGCGAGTTCTCCCGCCCCACTCCGGCGTCCAGTTCGGACTCGGGCGAACCGCCGGGAAACCAGGTGCAGGTGGCACTGTACCACAGCCCCAAGCTGCGGGGCCTGCTGCGGTGGCTCCTGCCACAGCGCTGGAACGAGACCCTGGGTCTCACGCACCTCAAGGTCTACCTGTTCGACGACACCCTCGTGCTCAGCGGGTGAGAAGATAGATCTGCCGGGTCGGTGGAGGGACTCGTACGAATGAGCCCCGTTAATCAGGCGGCAGCTTGCGCCACCTAGCTGGCATTTCTGTTGTTTGGAAGACTTTCATTTGCTCGTTTCGCTCGAAGTAGACACCCAGGACAATTCCAATCGCTTTTTGCTAAGAGCATTGTTTTACGGATTTCAAAATTCTTCGAGGCCCTCTAAATTTTGCATTCGTCTTTTCATAGCAATGCGGAGCACAAGTTCGTCTGCTGCTTACGCAGAAGTTGTGGTGACGTCAGAACGACGAGCTCTGATTGGCTTTAATTGGAAGGATAGTAGGTAGACCTCAAGGCTAGCTGCCTCGAGGTCTACCCACTATCCTTCCAATCGAGCCAATCGGAGCTGAGTGTTCTGGCATCAACACAACCCCTGTAAAAGAAGCAGAAGAACTTGTGCTCCGCATAGCTCAATCTTCATGCACCCCTAAGAGTCCTAGAAAGCCCAAATTACGATCCTGCGTGTCTTTTTTTTTACACTTTAGAAGCGTGACTAAACACAACAGCATGCTCCTTTACCGAGATGCATCTCGAAAAAAAGGGGATGCGTCGACCAACCGTCACAGGGGAGGCCTCATTCAACTCGACTATGGTGTCTCGAACGCTTCTCCGACCGGTGCGTTTACGGCATCCTCAAAAGTGGTCTCTCTACCTAGCTCCGCCCGACGACGTCAAACAAGTTTACCATTTTGTACCACCTGAGACTGGGTGGAAGAAACACGACGACGTCTCAAACACAGCTAACCACTTTATTCAGTTCTCCCTCCTTTTATACATCCTGACTCAACACCGCCACCAAAAAACATTTCAAACAATGGCACCAATGGTACACGCCTTGACTTCGCAGCCACAAGGTTCTTAAAAAAAAAAAAAAAATTACGAACCACTTTGAGTTAACAAACGGTAAACATACAACAAAACATTGGCCGAAGGGGACATTCTCGACCTCGCAGTCACTCTTAACTTTACAACAAACGAACAAGCGATCCACACAGAACCGACTGCAGTACGAACCCATCAACCTGTTACACCTCCTTTTTTTTTCTTTTTTTTTTCTATGTACGCATACACCCGGAACAAGAACATGACAAAGGAGATACCTCTTAGAAAAACACAAGACCTGTTCAAATCATATTCGGAGAAAAGCTTTCGCCCTATCACTAAAAAGCATAGACGCCTGGCTTATTCAGTTGCCAATCGACCTAATTTTCACTGTCTCTTTTACAACCCTTTTGACGTCGTTGACGTCTTTGCATACTACCGTTGTACCGGACCACTCGGCCGAGCAGTTTCTGCATTCTTGTGCATGTGTCGCAATTTCGGAATTAGTCGCTTTTATATTTACATTTCTTTTGTGCTTAGTCAGACGATCGTTCAAGCATCTTGAGGTCTGCCCTATGTACCTAAAACCACAATTCATCGGTATGTCGTAAACTACATGCACCGGTTTCACAAGGCACAGATTTTTCCTTGTGGTCCTTTTGGCATCCTTTTTTTTCTCTTTGGAACGGGGTGACGTTGCCCAACTTAAAGTCCGCGCTGAACACTACATTAACGCCAAATTTTTTTGCACACGCTTTTATATTGTGTGACACGGTGTGAAAATACGGCATTACTGCGAACCTGTTACTCGATTTTTCCTCCGCCTTTCCCTTTTCTCGAAAATGGTAAACTTACACGAGCTCGCCTGCGCCCTAACTGTTTTTTCGTCAAACAAGTGTTGCGCTCTTGCTTGTCCCAGTCCTGGCTTTGGCACGACAGCAGAGGCAGACACAACAGATGGCTCTTCTGCTGCAGCTCGCTCTTCGATTTTACGGTCTGCGCAAGCTTTGGCACGGATCCAACTCTTACGACCGACGCCTGGATCGCGGCGTCCAACGGCATATGCACGTCGGCTCCGCGACACCATTTGTTGACACTTATTTCGGCACGCTAAACGCGCCGGTTGTGGACATGTTCCAGACACCATAGATGCGATGTCGCTCGACGCGGTGGCCTCCTTCTCCCTACAGGGCCAACCTGAGCGACCAGTACTTTCGCAACCGGCAGGACCGGTACGTGGTCTTCCGCGACTGCTCTCAGCTGGCCGACTATTTTGCCGGCCTCGTGGCGGCCGTGTCCTCCTTCTCGCTCCAGCTGCACCCCGACGACTCGGTGGCACTGGGACGGGATTTCCCCGTGCACCCGTACAAAGGCGAGTGTTCCCGCGATCCTCGATCCTTTGCCTTTCCTGTTGTATTCGGTTCTTGTGGTGCCACGTATCCTCGGTAGTCTTTGCGCCGCAAGAGTGAGTGCAGCCTGTCCATCGAATAGTCGCACACTTTCAGTTCTTGATGTCTCGGTAGAGGTAAAGCACGAAATAGACCCTTTTCAAAATTTCGAAACAATACGTAGATGATGTGCAGCCACCATTTGTTGGTCGTGCACTATGAGAACTCGTTGGACACGAGCACTTTGTCAGCATTCGAAGTGTGCTCGGCTCGAAATGCATTCCACACGAGTGCTGTGTTGGTGGTTGGAGCGAACTCGGAACCAATCACGGGCTTCACGCCGGAACGATGAGACCAACTAATGGCAGCTACGCATAGGCTATGCATCGTTTCATAATTTCGGAGAGGGTCTATTTCTGCCAGCATCGTGAAAGCGAGTGAATGCCCTCGCTTACCTGACAATTCTAACCTGAGATCTCAAGCTAGAAGTTGGGCTGTACTGTTCAAATGTCAAATTGTACTTATCATATATTTTGTCAAAGTTGCTAAATGATTCTTCATAGCTTTTCTAAAGGGGTGCAACTCCAGCAATTTTTTTTATGGTCGCTGATTTTACTTAAAATTGGCTCAACGCATTGATAGACATGGTCATAGCAGTCCCCCAAGTATCGTGTAAAAAGAAAATCTTTTCGCAAAGTTAGTGAATTTTTTAATTTCAATCCAGTCTTGTTTCTCAAATTGAGAGCCCTCACTGGCAACACTGAAATGCGACGACAGAAATGGTACGAAGTGGGCTGTAAACCACGTTCCCAACTGATTACAAGACTTTTGATGGTGGGAAAAGAATGCTTAGAAGCTCAATCGTTCATTGAGAAGCACAAAAAAAAAACGCTCGCCATACTTTGTTTAATTCATCCTGCACGACCTGAAAGTTTGTACCATTAGTGACGTCACACCACTGGAGAGCGCGCGGAAATTTGGATGTTGGTTTTGGCCTCGTCTTCATTTACGGTTTTCTCAGAAGTTGTTTTGAATTTCGAGACTGTAAAGAGCATGCCTCAAACATTAAAGTCTGGGTATGCAGAACATGAAATTCGTTTGAGTAGCTCAAAATGTGGCCAGAGCACCCTTTTAAGGGCCAGCCACAAGGTACTAGTTAGGCATGCATTAAAGGGGTTATGACACGAAAATTAAACGGATAGATTATTCTTGAAATGGAATGCTCATAGGCTACTTAGTATGTACACCAAGTGACGCAATTTTTAGAGCTCTGATAATTGCAAAATTCAATTTACGAATTTTTATAATTTTCATCTGGCGACCAGGCAACACTGCTCAAGTTAGTCACACCATGGTGTCCATAAACCACGTGACCATGACCCCTCTTTCATTCTAGGCGCCCCCATGATCGCCCAAGCTCTTCTCGTCGCGGTACGAACAAAACCGCTCAAACAGCTCGGTAAACTGAAAACTATTCTCGCTCTCGCCCCCCGGCCAGTTGGCCTTCCAGCCTGCATGCGCCAGCGAGACATTCCCGGACGACGGTGACCCCGGCGAACTCGTCGTCGCTGGAGCTCGTCGCCAGCGGGTCGCAGTCAAAATGAACAGCTTCCAACGTCCCTTGATAGCAATCACTCTCATCGCTGCTGCGATCAATGTCGAACACTTCGACAAGGCGATCGATGTTGTAGACGTAATCGTCAGAGACCGGATGCTGGAAACGTGGAAGGTAAACGAGGAAGCTGAGGCTCGATACGCCAAGAGAGCCAAGACTGTGAGTGCGTGCAAGGAGACACTGCGCTGGAGGCTGGCTACGTCATCAGCCTCCAGGACCGCCCGGATCTGCCCCTCCGAGGGGCCCGCATATAAATCGATTTATCCACGAAATTATCGCGCCTTTTTCAAAACAATTTTAGCAGGATTATGGGAACATACAATGGGTCCTAGCAGTATAGTTATGTAATATTTTATTTTTGGCGTGTCATAACCCCTTTAAGGATGTGGCACATCTTTTTAATGAAAATTCTAGAATGCACAAATTCTTTCGGACGATTACTGAAAGCCTAAAAAAACATGAATTCAAAGAAACTTTGAACATGTGGTTACGGAACTCCCGAAGTCTCTCACCTGGCATTCCTCCGTGCTGGCCTTCCGCATTTTCTTTTGTTTTGTTAATTGTTTTTCTTAGCTGACACGACTCTTCAGTGGAACTAGATTTGGTGGTCACCTTGACACCATGATCTAGTGCTTTGCACAAACAAATTAGTTTTTTTTTTTTATCGGAGGTTTTTAAGCTGCCTTATCTTTTAAATGGGAGCTCTGGCAAAACATTGATGGCAATTGATTTTTATAAAATTTTCACCATGCACTAAATATCCACCTCTGAGTATGTCTACCAAATATCTCATCAAAATATTCATTTTCTTTCGAGAAAACAAATTTCAATGTTTACACATACACCTCCGTACTAAATATTAAAAATCCTTTTAGCGCAACATTTACATTGCGAGACAGATATGAAGTTAAGAGCGTTTTAGAAACGTGCTTCCTTTAAAACATAAAAAGAAAGAAAAAATTATAATATGCATTCTTTTAGGGAAAATGTGTTTCATGACTTACATATCCTATCCAAAACCTAAAAAGAAAAAGTCCCCCTCTAAGCTGCCTCGCGCTTTCTAGCAGATCTTTCGTGCCCCGAAAGACTCCTGACAGAATTGGCCGACCCTCGGTCTCCGTCACGCAGGTGACAGCACGGAGTTTGTGGCGGCTGCCAACGAGCGTCTGGCACCCCTGGTCCGTCCCAACGGACTGGAGCCGCCACAGAAGAGCTTTGGGGACACCTGGGTGTTCCCACTACTCCAGATGATGCCACTGGGGATCAGACAGGACCAGGACGTCACGGAGAGGATCCTCGCCAGGCCGCCCCCCGACTGCACCATGCGGCTGGCCACGGGCTACTTCAACCTGACGCAGCGCTACGCGGACCTCATTCTCGGGAACCCCGCTTCCAAGTTTGACCTGCTCGTCGCCTCTCCCAAGGTGCGGGCGATCGGGGCGTAGCGATTGCCGTAGGGGTCGCCGCGGCATTGTGCATTGTGATGACGTCGCGGAAGTGTCACGGTTTCGCCGGCCGTTATTTTGGTGGTGTCTTTTCGACGGAGGCGGGACAGCAGGCTCGTGTTCTGCAGCGGGTGTTGCTCTCCGGCTCGACGGTCTACGGACGCTACGACAGCCGGGAGTTGGGACGCCGTGGCGAGAACGGCAGTCGCGTTTACTCATACTTTTTACCGGGACTTGGAGTAACAACCGTCTGGATTGCGACATTTGGCGGCGTAGCACGACGGCCTCCGAGACATAGTTTTTTGCCACTTAAGGATTGCTTTTGATGTATGAGCAGAACAGGAAGCCAAACGGAGAAGTTGGAGACGTGATCGAGGCACTGTAGCTGGGGTGCCCGACGTAATCAGAGTTGCAGTTATGGTCAGAGTGCTGACACTTTTGTTATCTAATGTCTGTCTTGTTTGACTTGGTTCCGTGTCCACTTGTGATTGCAAAAAGTCCAGGCCATGAGTGTCATACTAGTGGTTAGAAGACAGAAGTACAAACATTGATTATTCTGTTGCCATCTAAACTGCCCAAGGAAAGGTGACTGTTTCTGTCGAAAATTATATTTCCTCCCTATCCCCTTCCCACGGGTCGTCTGAAACCAGGTAATGCGATTTTTAGGGGGTGGGCCATCTTTAGGTGTTTTCTTCGAGAAGAGAAAATTTGATCGCAAACAGGGTGTGGCTGTCTTTCGGGCTATTGTGGTGTGCTTTGTTTTGTGAACTAAGGATTCCTGTGTGGAATACCCATTGTTCATCTATCAACTGCAGGTTAATGGGTTCTACGGTGCGGAAGGATTGAGCGGCGTCATTCCCACCGTTTACACGCTGCTCCTGCGTCAGTTCTTCTCCCGGATCGGCAAATCGGAGAGTCACGTGACGGTCGGAGAGTACGAGCGTGCAAACTGGACCTTCCATGCAAAGGGCCTCTGGCTATGGAGGGGTTCGCAGCCGTGGCCGTGCGTCTCCCTTGTCGGCTCTCCGAACTTCGGTGCGTTACCTAATGCTGGTTCGATGCCCAGTTATGCTTGTATGATGTCTGATGCTTGTTTAAAATAAAGTATTGCGCAAAATACGACCTAACTGACGTGTGTTACGATTTGGTCGACACGTCGAGCCAACTGTTCATGAAGCATTCAATACTTTCAATATCCCTTACAATTTGAGGGAGGTTTGTTGCAGTCGACAGTTGTTCTGGGAAAAAAAGGAACGCACATGTACTGTTGTTGTTTCAACTTTCCATGATTGGGACAGAGAATGACAATTAATAATTTGCAGATTTGTGGAAGGGGTTGTCATAGATCGAGCTCCTCTATTTTGTCGCGCACGACATGCGCATATTGTTTGTTCTGCAATTGTTGTCTGCTCCCCAGGCTTTCGGTCTGTTCACCAAGACTTGGAGGCACAAGTTGCAATTGTGACAAGCAACAAGAGCCTCCAGAAACAGCTACATCATGTAAGTAAACTAGCTTATTCAATCTATTAATTGTTTTGCAATATTTGCACACTGTGTGACTGATGCTCGCGCATTCAACATGCAGAAAATATGGTTATTCTTCTCATTTTGTCAGCAAACTGTAGCACTTACCCCGACTTCTTTCGCTATCCTCAGATAAGGCCAACCTCGAATGGACACCTTATTTTTCTTGCCTCAATCTGAGCGTATATAAATACATTTCGTATTGCTACTTTGTCCACATGCTACATGAAGCGAAAAAGTGCATTTGAATCTGAGCTGTTCAAGTCTTATACTGTTTATCTTCTCAAATTGTTAGCTGATACATACAAGTTTCTAATAGACCAACTCATGTTTGCAAACAAACTGGAGTGTCCCTAGCGGGTGCCAATGGCGCCGTGTATGCGCGATGGAGTGTGGGCAAGAACCTCGCCGTAGCCCATAAACAAACCATTGGAATGCGATGTTGTCGGCGTCGGTGTGAGTCCCCCTGCCCTTTTTCGCGTTCGAGTTGTTGATTCTACGTCTTCCTGGCGATGTCTTACCACTTTTCGCGTAAAGTGGAGCATCCGCGCGTCCACCGTGCCAACCCGCAGCGCCACTGAAGTGCACGACGTCGGAGCCGCCTGTTGATGTATTCGGCTATTTCAGTGAAAGTTGAACGGGTCTAAAGTCTGTGAACGTAACGTGCGGGAAACCGCATAAACTGGGAGCGTACAACGTCCGTAAACATACAAACTAGGTGTCACTAAATGGACGACCTGGTGTGCGTATGTCTCGTTGCAGGAGCAGCAGAGGCTGTACGACCTCTCGACGCCCGTCACCTGGGCGACCTTTCAGGCTCCCAGCCGCCACGTGCCTCTCTGGGTTCGCCTGGTCACTCCGTGGCTGCGCTCCCTCTTTTGACACATCAGAGCGACGATTTTATGCGATGAAATAATTATATGTAGGTGTATATAAACATGCGTTTACAGTTCTTTCTCTGGTGCCTCAGTTTGTGACGGATGTATTGTGCCATAGCCTTCTCTAAATATAAATCAAGTTCACAGTGTGCCCCCCCCCCTCTAAAAAAAATGCAGGTTTTATTGTTGTTTTCTTTTTACCGCAAAAATAAAGTATGCATCGCCGAACGTTCAGTTTCCGCCCAAATGCACTAGAGCTTCAGACCAGATGCCAAGCTTTCAGAGCTTACCATTATCTAAATCAAAAGTTACAAGCGATTTTCAGAAATTTTCAATGGGGATGTGGCATCCAAAGCAGCCCAAGAAAGATGAATGGTGTCAGCTAGTCGGCAACAGTCTGCCATTTTATCATTGAAAGTACACTTATGAATTTATAAATTTTGACGAAGATAACGGCTAATGATGAAACATTTATCATCTGCTCCGGACCGCTAGCACTACATTTCGTTGGAGTATGACCGATTAGCGATGCGGTTTATTTTTGCATGGGTATAGTATATATAGATACATACGGTCAAACTCGACTATATCGAACCCGTTTACATCGAATTATCCCTTATATCGAACAGTTTTGTGCACAGTAATGTTACAGTGATAATATATAGCAAAAACTACGGTTACATCGAACAAAAATAGCAGCCGCTACCGAGATATCGAATTGCCAATAGCGTTGTTTGCTCTGCAAGCTGGCTTTCCCCCAACGAGAGAGGCCGCGTTGGGGGAAAGCCAATTTGCAGAACACGCTGGCTTTCTTTTTTTTCGCCTTCGGGCGGTTGCGTCGATTGTTTGCAAGGGAAAAAAAAAATCTTGGGCGGAGGGAGCGGGGAGAGGGTGCTTAGTGTTCCCTCTCCCCACTCCTTCCGCAAAAGATTGGATTGGAAAACATTTATTGGGTCGGCTAGAGTTACAGGTGGGTATGCTGATCTTGCTAGGTGGCCGTCAATGGAGATTGGCGAAAAAATAACGCGAGAAAAAAAAAAAAGCCAGCTTGCTCTGCTAGCTGGCTTTCCCCCAATGCAGCCTCTTGCCTTAGGGGAAAGCCAACCTGCAGAGCAAACCGGCGCTCTGCAGGAGAAGGTGCTCCTGCTCGGACGTGCTCCGTGCTCTCGACATGGTTCGACGCTAATGCGCGAATATAGAAGGCAGCGGCCTCGTCATTTTGGAGTCCGTCGATAGCGTAGAAAAATATGGTTATCGCCGATGCAATGAAGAAATAGCAGCAGAAGATGCAAGACTATTTCATTGTGTAAAACGTCAGCAGAAAGTAAATTCTTTAGTCAAATTCATTAAAACTTTTATATCGAATTACCCGCTATATCGAACTGGTAGACGTCTTTTTGGGAGTTCGATATAAACGGGTTTGACTATAGTTAGCTGCTGTAGAGAGCGTGCCACAACAGGACTAAAAATTGGCGATTTTTCTGTTCCTTCTTTTAGATTATAAAAATTGCATAAAAATTAGCAGTGCGCGGAAACGGCTCATTCGGGTCCTCCTAGCGGTAAGGTTTAAAAGGACACTGACACCCCCAAAAATGATTTTCATTTTTTTGCTAAGAGATTAAACATGGTGTCACAGTCTCATGTACTTTTAATAAAGCCAAGAAACGTAACTGCTCAAAACCGAAACCGAAACCTGCGCATGGAGGTCGGAGAACTAGAGCAGGAGAGTGCCGGAAGTCACGTGGCTACACCCAACCGTGCTTTTTTTTTTTTCGTTTCTTTTTTTGTTTTGTTTTTTTTTGGAAAGGGGGGGGGGGGGACTTTGCGCAGCAGTCGACGTCTTTGACAGCGTTTCGGGTACCGTTTGCCGTGCGATTGCTTTGCATTTATGTTTGTTCCGCTTGCTGTTCTGCACTTTAAGATGAGTTGTTTTGTACATTGAAGAGTTTGAAATGAGTAGTGAGTGCCCGTGGTCAATGCCCGTGATTGGCTCCGAAAAGAATACCTCCAAGATGTTGCGTGAAGAGCTGCCTCAAAGGTTTTGCATCCCAGTGACATTGTGCGGCAGCGTCTGCACAAGTTTCCGAAAGATCAACGTCGCTGCAATAGACCATTTGCTATATTACCCAAGCATCAAGGAGAATGCAGGGATTGGTGTTCCACGCGCCGCACGCGCACGCCTTCCCCGTTAAAAAGATTCGAAGTAAATAACCAAAATAAAGCATTGACGAACGCGCGTGCAAGACACGATTTGTTTTAGGTTTTTGCTTTCGAAAGTTTACTACTGCTGAGGCCAGCACGTGCGGCGCGTGCAACACCGATCCCTGCATTCTCCTTGATGCTTGGGTAATATAGCAATTGGTCTAATCCTGCGGAACAGTTGCGGGCACCTCGGAGAGCGGACGCTACCCGATTTATATGCTCTTTGCATTTTGTGGAAAGTGAGTTCACAGGTGTCATTTAGTTCAGCAACATAACGTTCGCATAATTTTTTTTCGGTGATAATTGTAAAAAAAGAAATATAAAATATCGCGAAATATATGACAAAAAAAGAAAAAAAACGTTTACAACACCCTGTAACGGCGAATTAGAGCGCAGCTCTTGAGGAGGAAGAGGAGGGAAGGGTACTGAGGGGAGAGTATACTCCTCATCCTGCCTGCTCCTCTCTCCCTCCCCCTTCACCTCCTCCCCTCATCCTTCAAGCTCCTCCCCTCATCTTCTCCCTCTCCTCATCCCCCCTCTTCTTTTCTCTCTCCTTCCCCCCTTCCCTTCTCTCTCCTCCCCCTCCACTCCCCCATCCTCCTTCTCCCCCTCGTCCTCCTCCCCCTCCCCGCGCGTTGCATCATGGGTAATGCCCCATAATGCACCGCGCGGGACCCTCGTGACGCCGCTCAAGCCGGAAACGGGCGCCTAAAAGCTGCGCTCTAAAAAAAAAAAAAAAAAAAAAGAAACGACGTTTACACTTTGGATTGAACCTGTGTTCGCTGCGTGCGACACGAACACCTTTCCACTCGGCTATTGGGAAATTCGAGATCGGGCAGCACCACGCATTGGCCACATTCGCACCCAGTAAAGAAATCGTACGTGTGCACATTTAACTCGAAGTACGCACCTCGTGCTTGCCGTTTGCGCGAGCGATGTCTTCAGCCACGAGAATGGGCAACGGCTCGTCTACGTCTTCGTGCAAATCGGCTTGGTGGTCGGGCGTGTCGTCGTACGGGCTGAATTCCAATTATTTTTATCGGACCAAAATTTCTCTTTCGAAGGAAGGCACATTCGCCGGTACCTGACCGACAGTTCTGAAGTAGAGGTCCGACGCCCGTCGTCTGCTGCCATCGCCGTCCAGCCCGCGAGTCCCATGATACGCGATACGACGCCGTTTTGATAATTGCGCACTGAACGCACAGAATGCTTACGGTTCTCTGTGCAACTTTTTTTTTGTTTCAATCAACGTATTTGCAACTTCTTAGAAGCCACCAAAATGTGTTTCATGTTTTTTTTTCTTTCTATTTTTAATATTAAGTTGTGCCTTCAATGACCCACGACTTCGATTAAATTTGCTGGTCGTTTCTAAACCTTAGAAAACGGCCCGTGACCACGGAAAACGAGAGTGAGCCAGACTCGAACCGGCCAGTTCTCGATCGGCGGTTTTCGGGCGGAAAGAAACCTAATTTCGAGCCGCAAATCCTGTTCTGTAGTTGGGCTCTCATATGTGTACAGAAAATTCTTTTAATTAGTTCATAATTTTAGATGTCCTAATGTATGGTAGAAACAAACCTGTAAATATTTAAATATAAAAAAAAAATCTCGGGACACAAAAGATGGTTGATCAGATCATTCGCATTTCCCCGCACAGCCGACGTGGGTATGTGCCAGTAAATCAATAATATGATTAGAAGTTCTAGAGTGCGACCCCGGAAGTGTGTTTTACGTGTGTGGGGGGCGAGGGGGGGGGGGCCGGGAAGCGGGGCATGAAAAAAAAGTGAAAGCCGTTTACAACTCCCTATAACGTCGAATTAGAGCGCAGCTCTTGAGAAGGAGGAGGGAAGGGTACTGGGGGGGGGGGGGTCAAGTGACCTTGGGTGGGGGTCACCTGACATAGGGGGTCACGTGACGATGACGATGCCGATGACGTCATCAGTAACGATGACGATGCGGATACCGATGACGTCATCAGTGATGATGACAATGACGATGTGGATGCCGGTGACGTCATCAGTGATGATGACGATGCGGATGCCGACGTCATCAGTGACGTCACTGATGACGTCACCAGCGATGATGACGATGCGGATGCCGGTGACGTCCTCAGTGACGTCACTGATAACGTCATCAGTGATGATGACGATGCGGATGCCGGTGACGTCATCAGTGATGATGACGATGCGGATGCCGCTGACGTCATCAGTGACGTCACTGATGACGTCATCAGCGATGATGACGATGCGGATGCCGGTGACGTCATCAGTGATGATGACGATGACGATGCGGATGCCGGTGACGTCATCAGTGACGTCACTGATGACGTCATCAGTGATGATGACGATGCGGATGCCGGTGACGTCATCAGTGATGATGACGATGCGGATGCCGGTGACGTTATTAGTGACGTCACTGATGACGTCATCGGGGGTCACGTGACCCCGGGGGTCACGTGACTTGGGGTGTCACGTGACCTTGGGGTGACCTTGGGGAGTCACGTGACCCCCGATGACCCTTGGGGAGGGGTCACGTGACCTTGGGGTGACCTTGGGATGACCTTGGGGGTAAGTGACCTTGGGATGACCTTGGTTACGCCGACGGCGACGCCGACGCCGCTCAAGCCGGGAACGGGCCCCTAAGAGCTGCGCTCTAAAACTTGAAATGAAAAAAAAAGCATTACAAGATTTTACTGTTTATAGAAGGTTTATTATCACTACCGTGTGTCCATACATTCATTCAAAATTCCTGTGTCGATGTAAAATGCACTGGAAAATCTGGCGCCTGCTCGTATTAAGTTCACATTTTCAACGAAGCTGTATTTTAATCGTAGGCGCATTCCTATGAAATTTCTCGGCGCAGCTCCGTTCCTGTG